CCCTATTTGCAAAGGGTCGGCCTCCCTTCTTAATATAAACGGAAAGATCAACAAAATATCTATGATTGAGTTTTAGGCCCCAGGTTCCGGTTATATAGGGCTAGTCATTTTTCAAAAAATCGATTATGCATTGGATAACTTATATGTGAACAACAACATTGGAAAGATCATTTTAAAATTTTTACTTTTACACTTTTGTCCCCACTTATATCCAGTTTGTATGAGGAAAAAGACACGATGTGACATTTAAATGTAAATTCGATTAGTAGTTCCTTTCGCAGCTAGCATACAATCATTACCCTTGAGCTTTAACCCCAATTAGGGCAAGGCTTTGATGTACAATGTAATGTAAGAGGGAGCGATAAATTCCTTGGAGACAATTTCGCTGCGCTTTAAGTACAGATATCAAATCACATAGAATAGAAGCGAAGTGTGTATATCCTCTATCCAAAGCTTTGTATGCTGATTTTTATATTAGAAATACAAATAATTCACTGTTCAAAACACATAATTTTTATTTTTATTGGGACCAAGTGTTATATAGGAAAATTCAAGACAAAAAATAAAAAAACAGCTAATGCTTTTCTTCCTCGGTTGCATCAAAGCAAATATCTGAAAAAGTACCTTTGAACTGAAAAGATCCGTGATACAAAGCTGCATTTTATACAAAACCTTCGACAAAGGATTTATATTTCACAACAGAGGTGGTAAAATGTTTATGATGAATTCCCTTTCCGGAGAAACGTATAGTTGTGTAGGTTTTTTTCCCGGAAGATAAATAGCGTGGATGTTCCATTGAATCCGCTGACACAATTCCATTTACCAGCAACTTCTGACTTATTGTAAATTACACAAAGGAATGTGTGCCATATACTCATTTATTATGTACAGTTTTAGAAGAATATTTGTTTTTTTTGTAATAGACATTTTAAAAACTGAAATTCCAAAGAATAAATATGCAAATGAACAACGGATCCTATAAATTAAAATTCCTCCGGCATGCTCGATCTATTAAAACGCAGGGTGCATGGCATTATAGATCTCGCCCTTATAATGCAAATAAAAAGGAAAAAATATAATGTCAAATGCACTTTATCAGCATTTTAAATAGGGAAACCCCTTTTGTAAAAGTTCCAATTATAGCTAAAAAAGCAAAAAGGAAACTCGAAGAGATGAGTTTTTGATGGCTTTTTACGGATTACAGTCGTCGAAGCATGGGATTGAAAAAGGGGATAGCAAAGACAAGTAGTTGCGGGCTCATTAAATTGAAATTATGTATATGGAAGAAGTTATGAATCAAATGAAATAGTTATTTATTTAGTTGATTGAAATAAAACAGTACCCATTTCCATCATGGGAAATATAAAATTTATCCAATAAAATACTGTATAAAAGAAGATTTCATCAATTTAAGCCGGCCATGACAGAACTATTTACGAAAAATTGCTATATTGCTTTTATTGTTCGTCTGCTGATATATATCCATCTTAATAGCTACCGTGAAATTCTCGAGGCGCCTCAAGATTAAAGTTCAATAACTGAGCAAACTCACTTTAATGTGGAGGATCTTCGTCGAGTAACATGTGCGGAATCTTTGATCTATAATATGGCACGTCATGCATCGTCATTAGCTTGATCGTATAATAAAATATGATAATTCCTTTGAAGATAATATGGTTTATGATGCTAATTTTGTCGGAATTATATTATGATGTATCTATTTGTCTCTTTGTTTATTAGAGTCCAATTAGGATATTCAAATTACAGTTTTTTAAATGGTGAAGATGAAACATAACATCGTCAATATAGTGAAGACAGGAATTTTAGGATTTCACTTATTTAGAATAAGTGTTATATAGAAGAAGAATAGAGACAAGAATTTTAAAGAAATTTGATCATTTTTCTTTTCTGTTCCAGGACTTTGACTGTTCCTTGATTCTTTTGTGGAAATAAATTTCATTCCAGGCTTTTGACTGTTCCTTGATTCTTCTATGAAAAGAAACTTGGATGGAAACAGAAATTCAAGAGCCTGGAATAGTTGAAAATTGAAACTAAAAAGAAGAGACAGCATTTTCGAGAAAATTTGATCATTTTTCTTTTCTATTTCAGGCTTTTGACTGTTTCATGATTCTTTTATGGAAAGAAATTTCATTCCAGGTTTTTGCCAGTGCCTTGATTCTTCTATAAATAGAAATTATGATGGAAACAGAAATTCACGAGTCTGGGATAATTGAAAACCGAAACTAAAGAGATGAGAGTGTTAAGGAAATTTGATCATTTTTATTTTCTATTCCAGGCTTTTGACAGTTTCTTGATTCTTTTAGGGAAAGAAATTTTATTCCAGGCTTTTGCTCATCTTCTGTGAAAATACATTTGGATGGAAACAGGAATTCAGGAGCCTGGAATAGTTGGAAATTAAGAAAGAGAAGAGGAATAAAGACAAGAGTTTTAAGGAAATTGAAGGGTTGTTAACAAAGTTTCAAATTTCATTCAATTGAAAATTGGGTAAATGGCATCCATAGCAACATTTAACTAAAGTTCCTTTTTCCTAATAGTCCAAGAGCCCAGAGCCGCCAGACACAACTTATTTTCTAAAGGACAGAATATGTGGGATTGAGTAGCACTTATAGGTACTATGAACGTATGTATATTCGCTAAGTTGGGTAGACGGCCAATTCACTGTTATTTGTAAATAACGGTTTTTCCTATCATGGGAAAAACCTAATCCCATTTCTACTCTAGCCTAGAGTAGACTGTAAGTTTAAGAGTGGGAAATCAGTTGACATTGATATCTCGCTCACTCTCAAACGCATGCATAGTACCCTCGCGCTTACACTCCCGGAAAAATTATTTTGCGTCTGGGGGGATGTTTGGCCGGTGCGATTGGTCTGGCTGAGCACACGTAGTTATGAAATGGTCTCCCCAATACCATATATAAAAATCAAGCGTTAGAACAAAAGTTAAAGCTTTCTTCAGCTTTCGCACCTGATGTTGGTAAATTGGCCGTCTACCCAACTTAGCGGGTATCCATACGTTCATAGTACATATAAGTGCTACACAATCCCACATATTCTGTACTTTAGAAAATAAGTTGTGTCTGGCGGCTCTGGGCTCTTGGACTATAATTTAGACAATAATTCTTATAATGAAGAAACCGAAACGATCATTCAAGCTGCCCAATTCAATCGGCTAAATCTCGAACCAACTAACTTCAATAAACTAATGAATGATCTCCTGTTCAACTACAGTCAAGTAGCCCTTATATTTAAATCTTCCTCCAGGATTAGTCTTTAGGAAAAATTAGATTTCTAATACTTCTATTCAGACCTCCTTCTTTTTGTAAGGGATAAAAAACTCAATCCTTCTCCTGCAAGGTCATTTTGATATACGAAACAGAAGCAGTAAAAATTTTATTGCTTTTTCCCCTTCTTTTGGTTGGATTTATTTCATATATATTTCCAATCTTTTATTATTATTGTCTAAATATTTGTTCAAAAATATTCCACTATATATTCGACCATTTAAATCGTATGCTCAAGGTGTAATATGCTGAGAAAAGTGCCTGAGGACTTCAGCACTTCTCGAGATTGCAGATTTACAAGGTCATAGCTAACTTTCACAGAGAATAATTGTTGTTTTTTCTCTATCTCAGAGTATCCAGTGTGCTAGTTCAGTTTCGTTCTGCAGCGTTATGGAATAAATCCCATCTGTCCCTGTTGACTTGGCTGCAGAAAATTTAATCTTCGGACATGTGAAATCGGGATAGTCGGATAGTCTTAAAGACTTCATGATTTAAAGTACACCAATCTGAGCAACCTTCATTGTACAATAAAATGAATATGAGAAAAACATTGACATCACCTCATCAATCGTTATTCACCATTTTTCTGTCGATACTTACCAGATGTTTTTGCTTACCAGGTCATTTCATAGCTAAAGTAATATGAATTTAAATATTAGGGAAACGGTACTGATTTATATCACAACTTATTTGGATATGATGCTTATTTTTTAATTTATTCGCTATTGTTTTTATATCAAAGTATTTTCGTATTTTTTAGGTCAGGTATGAGAATAAAAATCGTCCACCTCTTCTACAATGTCAAAAAAAAAAAACATTAAACTTTCCCAAGGATCTTTCTACATGAAAGATGGGGCTCTGTCCCAAAGGTGTCATTCGCGTTTTATTGGAAATCGACTGGCTAAGATAATCAGAAAAATTTGGAAGCTGATGATTACTGGAATCAAGAATGAGAAAGTTTCTCGCCTCCTAATGCCTAGAAATGAGCTAAAGCGTTTCCAATGTTCCAGAAAATATCACTACAAATATAGATTTCGTATTGAGGATGACTTATTTTCATGTTCCACCTTACTTTTATTTATATGTATTCGAAGCCTTGATACGCAATAAAAATTATATATTATCCACTATATTGCCGTTCCAATAAGATCTATGGCCCTTTATTGACTTCGTGACACAATTTCTCAAATATTAAATTGATATAGATTGGCCTGACTTGCACAAGAAATCCTCTAGTATTGTACATAATATAATCAATTATGATTATGTGATTTATAATTCTGATAAGAATTCCTTTGAAAATATTTTCCTGCAAGTAATATTTATCCGTGAAATTTGGATCTCACGTACCTTAATTTAGATTGCAACCCTTTTTTGAAACAAAAATGTATAATATTTTATTTGGAAAGCCTTTTTAAAAAAATCAAATCCGTTTTCCTGGCATCAGCTGTTGCTTGCAGTAAATCCCCTATTATTCGGGAAAATGGGCACTGGGGGATTCTCCCAATTACGAGTATATTGACCTTCCAGATGATTCATTTTTCTTGCTAGAATATAAGAAGGGCCAAAGATTTTGTGCGCACAAAATCATTGAGACAATATTCGATATAATACATACCTCTATCCTTCTAAAAAAGTAAACTTCTAATTGAAATTTTATTGTGGAAAACTGTTAAAAAATTTATTTTATTTGTTCCAGGCCTGGTCAAACTTGGCGTGCAGTGTGTCACAGGAAAGAAGGTGGCCATTAAAATAATCAATAGGGAAAAGCTTAGCGAAAGTGTTTTGATGAAGGTAAGCACACGATAATAATAGTCTTCAAAAGCTAAATAATTGAGGGTTGAATTTAATTTACATTTAATTGAGCAATATTATCAATCAATGGTTTTCCATGAATGGGAACAAATTTAAAAAAAAAACTGCGTGGAGGAGCCATCCATCATTTCGAGGAATTGTTTAGAGGTGCTTTTTCATGTTTTTCATCAGACAAATTGTCTGGTTTTTTTTTGCTTGTTTATACGTCGATAAACATTTGATGCAAATGGTAGTGATATTAAAGATAAAGTAAAATGAGGATTGATTCAGTGGAATTCTATCGAACAAATTTTACCCACCAGGGACCGAAGATACTTTACAGGTCAATTTATGGAAAATAGACGTTATATACAAGTTCAAATATCATGCCTTCAACTAAATGTATCTATTGCCGAACCTCCTTTACAAGCATCATTTTAAACATTCTGTTGAATTCTTATCTTGACAACACGTTGTTTTCAAACAACATAAATCCCATACATCCATTTTCGTTTCCCCGATGGACCAAATCCCGAAAACAAACTGCCATTCAACTTTTTTTCGTCTAGTCACTCGCTTCGGAAAAGTGGCCGAATGAAATATTCAATGTCGTTTTCGGAAAATGGCTTTTCTGCACCTGCTTCTGAAGGGCGTTTGGAAAATGTGTCGGTTTCGAACTTGACGCAATTCAACTTGTAATATTTTCCAGGAAAAAATTGATTATAAGTCAATCAATTACATTCACTTGCCCTAAGATACTCAATAATTTTCTTTGCTGAAATTATACAGGAATATAGAGTTTATCTAAAACGCCTATTCTTATCTACTCTTGAATGTAGATTATTTCCATACTTTTTCATTTCTGCATTATCCAGTTTCTTCTAGCAATCTTCTGAATGTCATCTCTTTTAAATTCTTCTAACACTTCCCATGTCTCCTTTCAGTTATTCTCGAGAATGAGAAACAACTTACCGACTCAACAGACATCTTTGAAAATGAGAAATTACAACAAATTTACCAGAAATTCTTGAGAATGATTTATGAGAAACTTCTCAGCAGATATCTTTTCGAATGAGAAACAACTAGCAAAATGTATGGACCTATTATCGTATTTTCTTACATTTCCTCAATTGTCCCAATAACGGTTTCTCTTCCGAAGACATTAAGTTTACCCTTGTCTGGCCCAAATGAAATATTAAATCGTTTTTGGGGAAACGACTTTTCAAGATGTCGGACAGAATGATGTAAAGTAATAGTGTGTAAACATGTCTGGGTTATAATGAGCTTTTATTGGGCTCTAGGAAGTGTCCATTACCTCTTGATTAATGGCACCTGTTTGGCAGTTAAGTCCGTTTTTTTGGGACATAATTTATCATTTCCTATATGGTTTATATAGTTCGGTCGGATATAACATACAACTGGAATTATTTCCATAGCTACTGTTCCATTAATAATAGGTTCGATATTCAACGACCCGATATAGAATATTCTGCGTTTAACGATAACCGATTTTCATAGAGTAACATTTTGTCCTGACCGCACATTTGCTAAACATTCATGGCACATTTGTCCACACCCGAAATTGATAAACTTAACTGACCATCATCGTTTATTTTAGTATTAAATCCCTTGGGATAAAATTATTAACTTGAGTCTAGAAGCTCTTGTGCAGACTAATGTTACAGAAGAATCTATTTAGGGGCAACATTTCTAAGAACTCGAGATTACCCAAAAATGTATTAAAAAGTTAAAACAATTCACATATCATCCAAATACAATAGAATCAATCAAAAAATTATTTTTCTTCAAATCCAATTTGCTAAATCCCTTATTGCTTGTTGTCCGCCACTTCAGCTACAGCTTCGTCCTATTAGATGGGGAAGTTTTTCCCCACATATAGTCGGAATGTAAAAGCAATCGGAAAAAAATATTATTGACATGATAGACACATCAAAAGGCGTCGAAGGCATCGTGTTCCGGACAATCCGCATTGCAGGGAGAATAAGTGAATTGTTATAAGGAGGCCAGTTTTTTTGTTTGACATGATTTCTTGGGGCTTTGATGGATTCTGGCTTTTGTTCTCTGCATGTTTCACACGATCCCTCAATATTGATTTGTAAATGTTTTGAAGCTGTTATACATTTTCAGCGGTATATTCTAATTCAATATTAACAAGGCAACATTAACTGTCTGCAACTGGCTGTATGATAATCGTGTGCCCGGGCAGACTATAATATATCAAGGTAAACCCCCCCTAAAGCTGTCACGCACCCCTGTCTCCTCATTGCCTGCAGATTAAATGGAAGATTAACGCGTTCAACTATTATACAGGTGAAACGGCTGTGAATTGCTTATCAACTTATCAGCGTCCGAAATTGGCGTACACGAATTTATTCCGATATAGAAGGTTTTAAAATATACAGCAATTCAGCGCAGAAAAATTCCCGGAGCGATCGTAGTATCAAGGCAACAAAAAGCACAAAATAAATGTGCAGAAAAAAGTCAGAAATAGATGGTATTTTACCTCTTATACCGCATTATTTGCTGGACTATGTGCTGTAGGAGCACTAGGTGGGGGTGCTGCTGGTATAGCAAGAGCAGTAAATGACGCTAAAGTTGCCAATGGAAAGTTGCAAGAACAAAAAAGACAATCAAAAAATGGAGACTTTAGTTGGCAGAGAATGTTATGTTTTTCTTACTAGCTTTGTCAATACAATACCTGATCAACTTACTGTACGATTATCTTGAAAGTCTATTTGCAATTAGAGGCAATGTCAAAATATTGCAAGGCGTTCAAATGACGTCCTCATCTCTTCCTTACATTCAATGAATTATTGCTTGGAACTTTTTTTTTTGTATAAAGCTGCAATACTTTCTAAACATTACATAATCCTTACTTATCGAATATCCATTGATTTGAAGAGTAAAGAGAAAAGAACAATTTATGTCTTGTTATAAAGAAATCGTTACTGGAAACTGCACCAAGAATCATTTCAAAGGAAAATAAAAGAGAGATCGTTAATTTTCTTATAATTGTAGACTATTTTTAGCTCCTTTCCCATTTATTTTATACCTTGTTGCAGGTCGAACGGGAAATAGCCATAATGAAATTAATAGATCATCCGCACGTGCTGGGTCTGACGGACGTCTACGAAAATAAAAAGTATCTGTAAGTATTCTTTAATGAAAATTAAATTATAAATGAAAACAGACAATTTATAGTTGAAACTTAACAGAACAGACAAAATATTGGAAGTCATGACGAGCATTTTTGACCAAAAAAAATTTACTTATACAGATACATTTTTGGCTATTAATATCATGACGGTTGCATAATATTCCCCTTTTTTTTTGTTAATCCTTCTTCAAGCATCGGGCGCGATGATATTTCAACTTTAAAAGCGAAACTTCCAAGTCGAAACTTTTGGTAATGATTAATGATGTGCTCGTAGAATCTCTTGGGATTTGCATTAGGGGTTTTTATGAGTTCTACAGGGATAGGGTTTTACCTAAATGTATTATTTACTGCATTAAAGTTTCACTAATTACCATGTTTTTTCATTTATTCTTTTGATGAAAAATATGTACAATAAACTATGATAGTTAATTGATGATTATAATTATTATTAATAGCCCACACAAAGGCTAAATCAAAAGGGAACATACAAAAAGCGTAAATTGGGTTGGAAATGCACCGTTTTTGATTGATAAATATACTATTAAATTGAAATAGGGCGAAAACGTGTTTTTGTCCCAATCATTTTCCAAAAAAAAATGGATTATTTGATACGAATTTTCCTGTAATTTCAGCTATTTAGTGTTGGAGCACGTCTCTGGGGGAGAATTGTTCGATTATCTCGTTAAGAAGGGCCGACTGACGCCTAAAGAAGCCAGAAGGTTTTTCAGACAAATAATATCAGCGCTGGATTTTTGCCATAGCCATTCCATTTGGTAAGTACCCAACTACCATTTAATGGAAAAATCTATATTATTTAAGTAAAAATGTGCCAAGGCAAACCTACATACAAATGATAAAATACTACAAAGACCGGATTCACGATTATTATTGAGCTAGAAAACGCCTAACCATTATATAAATGCCTCGAAATATAGAAACTTGGATAATATCAGACCGAAACTTTGTCTTTACATTTCAGGTAGTTCGCTTCAAGTTTTGCCATTAGACAAACGATTTTAATTACTGAGTACATATTTATTATTTGAAGGCTGCTATTGTCTTTAAAGTTAGTTTCATTATCAACATTTATATTCTTAATTTATTAGTAACTTTCGTAACTAACTATTGTTTTAATAAATGTTATCATCAGTTCTCTGATACATTTTTTGATTGATTTTTTATCGTAGATTTATGGGCAATCAGTAGTTTAACAAGAAGTTGCTTCGTGTGTGAACTCATGCACAAATACTGTGACATTTCTTGGTAATCCATCTTATTAATGAATGAATTGTTAACTGCTGAGTTCCACTTATTACCTACTTGATACTAACTCAGTGAACAGTGAACTCATAAGTGAGACATACTTATTCACTGAAATGAGCAAATTTTCAAAATAATAAGTGCAACTCTTTCACTAAATTCCTTCGTTTTCAGGTCCGTATCGTTTTTGGTTCTTGAACTAACCCAAACTAATAAGTGAAACTCCCTTACTCAATTCTTTCGTTTTCAGGTCAATATCGTACTTGATGATAAGCATATTCATGAGTAAATTGCTTCTGAAACATTCAACAATTCTCTCATTAATAAGCTGTTTACGGACTCGAAAACCAGAGAATTTTTCAATTAAAAAAAGCCCCACACACAATTCATTAAAATTGAATTCCAAAGTCTCAGCAATCTGTATAATTCCTTCGATGTGTCTACCGTAATTTATCAGGATACGATACACACCTTATACTTCAAAATTTAGGCTTATATTGAATTATAATAAGTGAAGTGATAGAGAATACCTTGATTTAAGTTAATTAAGTGATAATTTCAGCCACAGAGATCTCAAACCCGAAAACCTCCTATTAGACGAAAAGAACAACATCAAAATAGCGGATTTTGGAATGGCCTCGCTCCAACCTATGGGCTCGATGCTGGAAACTAGCTGCGGTTCGCCTCATTATGCATGTCCAGAAGTTATCAGGGTGAGTAACCAGTTTCCTTCAATTATTGATTTACACCCGCGATAATCAAATCTTGTGACGCAAAGCATATAATTCCAGGAATACAATGTATTATCTAGTAGATAGATATTTATAGAATTTGAAAAAAAAAGATATTGTGACTATGATTTAAGTCACTGGGTCACTAAAAGAACTTTGTATCTTTCGCATATAGTTTTGTTGGACCAGTTCCAGCGACTAAAGCCGCCGGGGAAAAATAAAAATAGAATACTCTCTAAAAGTCCTTTCAAATAGGGATTATCGAATGAAATTTTACGGTATTTGGGCTTAAATCATACATAAAAGTTCTTGCGAAAATTGAAAACTCTCTGCCAGATCACTCAACAGAAACATATTTTCTTCTTTTGACCCCATGCAGAATTACAAACATCTAAACCTGCAAAACATTTATCTATGTTCAATATTCAATTCATGTTTGTCTCTTCGGAAAATGATACTCGAGATCTTTTTCAAAAACATATAGGTACAGTAAAATATTCCGAAAGAATCATGTAAATTTTGTTTTGTACGATTCTCCGAAATAATATTCCTCCAAGGATTGAAAACTCCAAAATAACAAAAATACAAGAATAGTTTTTCTATTGAATAATTTTGTTTTCAGAATTCATGAATATTTAAAAAACGTTCAGCAATAGACGCGAACAAGAACAAAAACAATCATTACTGTCTCTGCTTCCTATGTTAAATTTAAACGCAGGAGAAAATTATTTTCATAAATATACATTAGGTGTGCACCATTAAATTTCAAATTCAAGACCTTTGTCGACTTTGAAAGTTTAAATTTATGTTTTACTTTGAGAAATGCAATTACACGCTTTTTTTAGCTTCTGTTGTTTCAGAAAGGTGAAGCCAAAAGTGTAAAGTAATTGGAAATAAATTGTTTGAAGATACATACTTTTAGGTTTGTTGTTTTTAGAAAATGTCACTGGAATTGTTTCTGAAAGGTTCATGAATATTCTATGGGATTATTTAGCTCGAACATTTAGGTGTGAGTCGCATTATTCCAACAGAAGAGTTTCTATATTCAAGTATCGCGAGATTTATACAAAAGATGTAAAGCAACCAAAAAGAATTATTGCTGTTTCTGAAACAGAAGGTATTTTACTCCTTATGCCATTATTTGCTGGACTATGTGCCATAGGAGCACTAGGTGGGGGTGCTGCTGGTATAGCGTTGATTTTAGAATATATCACTGGAATTGTTTCTAAAACGTTCATGAATATTCTATGAAATGTTTTAGCTCGAACATTTAGGTGTCAGTTATCATAGTTTCGCATTATTCCAACAAAAGAGTTTTGATATTCAAATATTGCGGGATTTATACAGAGTGGCAAAAAAGTAGCGCATAATACCTGTAACTTTTTAATTACCTCGTATACGAAAAAGTGACCTTGATGAAAGTTGGTCAGTGAATTATTTCCTACATTTCTACCTAGACGAATTGTTTCTGTCACTTCTGGTTTGTTTGCTATCCCCACCAACATTGTTTTTTTAAATGAAACACCTTCTATGTGTTTCCATATTTGGATTCTACGTAAAATTCTAAGCAAATTTCATATGATATACCGTATACTCAAGTTCAACTGTTTTGATATTATTGACAGTTGAAAATCAGCTTTTTTGCAACTTTTACAGGCTGCAAAATCTAAACGGTAAATTTTAGAGAAAAACCGAATTCATCTGTCTTAGATTTTCATAAACTATCATTTGACATCGACATCAACTTTGAATTTAACCGGAGATTACATCTAATTGGAATTTTCAATCATGGATTAAATTCAAAGTTGGTGTCAAATGATAGATTATGAAAATCTAAGACGATAATCTAAGATTGTTTTTCCTCTAAAATTAACCGTATAGGTTTTACAGCCTGTCAAAGTTGCAAAAAAGTTCATTTTCAACTGTCAATATTTTCAAAACAGTTAAACTTGGATATAGGGTATACCACATGAAATCTGCTCAGAATTTCACGTAGAATCCAAATATGCAATCATATACAGGATGTTTCATTTGAGAAAATAAAGTTGGTCTGGTTAGCTGACAAACCAGAAGTGACAGAAACAATTCATGTAGGTAGAAATGTGGGAAATAATTTACTGAGCGACTTTCATTAAAGTCACTTCTTCATAGTAATTAGAAAGTTACAGGTATTATGCGCGACTTTTTTGCCACTCTGTACAAAAGATGTGAAGCAACCAAAAAGAATTATTCCTATTTCTAGAACAGAATGTATTTTACCCCTTATTTCATTATTTGCTGGACTATGTGCTGTAGGAGCACTAGGTGAGGGTGCTGCTGGTATAGCAAAAACAGTAAATGATGCTAAAGCTGCCAATGGACAAAAAGGAGCTTTATCAATACAATTCATCAACTTACTGTCCGAATATCGATTTTTATACAACTTTCGATCTCAGTCTAACTTTCTAGAAAAATCCCTTCTAGAAATTTCCTATAAACATAATTTCTCTTCTATTTATTTGCAACTAAAGGCAATGTCAAAATATTGCAAAGCCGTTCTCAAATGACGTCCGCATCTGTTTCTCGCGTTCAATGAATTATTGCTTGGAACTTTTCCAACTGAGCGGCAAATCCTTATTGACGAAATGTTTTCTTGCAGCCTTTAGTTTTTATGTTTTTATACCTCACAGTCAAAATAAATTTTCAACACCTTACTACATACAGATCAGTCATGGAGATATTTTAAGCACATTTTCCGGATAGTAAATCGATTTAACTTTCGATACGAGGTTTTGCGTAACATTGTAAACGAGCTTATTCACTGATTTGGAAATAATTTGATTTGGGTTGCTCTCCCCCTATACAACATCGATATTTTTGTCACATAATATGTGTGGGAAGAAGGTCTTATAATAACATTTTGCACAATCCTAATGGAGTTTTGGAGTTAATTGTTTCTATATTGAGAGTCCAACATCCAAGAGAGATTATTTTTGAGTTGGTTTATCCACGAGTTTTGGAAACTTTCCAAAACTTTAATACAGCAGGAAGCGTAATATTTCAAAAATTCCATGTTTTAGATATAAAATGGCTGTATACGTGTTCTGATTACATTTTAAAGGTCGAATGTGAGCCTGTAGATGTAATATTTATCCTAAATAGGTTCATATAGTAGTAAACGTGTTTTCACGGTTCACTTTGTATAACTATTTCGATTGAGTAATTTCAAAATGATAGTGAAAGTAAAGCTGGATTACACATTGATGTTCTTCGATTGTGTTTTTGGAAACTCTTGACCTAAATCAGCCTAATTTAAAAAAACACCGCTATTACTCTTAGAGCCCTTCACACGGACCCTCCTTGAAATTTATTACGTACGTAATTGCCACTTAACAAACATTTTAACTATGAAAAGGTGCAAAAGGGTACTTAAAGTTAGGCTTCATTTACCTTTCCACATACAAGTGGATTCTATAATTAAAATAATTAGTGAGTTTGACCTTTATATTTTTCGATAAAGTTTGAGTTAAGATACTGAATAGATCCTAATGTAAATACTTGACATCCACAAGAGTTTATTTACCTTGAGTTTCCATTAATTGAAATTAATTGTACCAAAACTTTTGAAGATGTACCTAGTTCTTTATTGCTAAATTCTAAAATACATATTTCTTTTTTCATTAAATTTCAGGGTGAAAAGTACGACGGTCGAAAAGCGGACGTGTGGTCTTGCGGCGTGATCCTCTACGCCCTTCTAGTAGGCGCCCTGCCCTTCGACGACGACAATTTGCGCCAATTATTGGAAAAAGTCAAACGGGGAGTGTTTCACATTCCGCATTTCGTACCTCCCGATTGTCAGAGCTTATTGCGGGGCATGATCGAGGTCAACCCTGAAAAACGACTGACGGTAGGTTCCGATTTGTTCTAGAAAACTTTACGTCATCTTATTTATTAAACTAAACATCCACTTGAAAATATATAGGTGATGTAAAAGATTCTTTATCAATAATTATTTAAAAATTTAGATGTAAAACAACCAAAAAAATTCCTACCCCTTAAGCAAATAATGGAATTTGCTGGATTATCTGCTCTAGGAGCGTTGGGTGGGGGTGCTGCTGGTATAGCAAAAGCAGTAAATCTAGAGCTGCCAAAGAGTTGATCGATAAGTTGGTCGGGAAAAAAGGATGTAGTTTCATTATTTGGAGCCCTAAAGGGTTGAGACTTCATATTTGACGAACAAACTAAACCAAATTTTTCCAGCTGTAAGCTTTAATAAAAGTCCAATCCTTCTATCATTATAATAAGTTTTCTCCTTGAAACTTACCCGTTCCTAGGCCTAGTTTATGCATTCACAGAGTAAATTTTACGTCAACATGACCTCGTTTCTGTCGCTTAAAGATAAGTTTGTTGCCGTCAGTATAACGACGTCTCTTTTATTTCAACGCGAATGTAATATTATAACGGAAAGAAAAGTTTACTTGTTCCAAAGCTGGCTGGCAATTTCAATACGTTGAAAGGAATGTACTTTGTATGTGAAGTTTTGTTTGAAACCGTATATGCTCTTTAGGAGCTAAACTAGATAGAATTTAAAAGAATTTATCTACCAAAAACAGATTCAATAATTATTTATAAACCTAAATTATTGAGTATACATATGAGCATACACCTACACTTATTAGCAATACCGATAATGATAAAATCGATACACTATCGCGTATAATTCTGTTTCGATAAACACAATAAAATTTATTTTAAATAACGAAGGAAATGATTTTGTCCGCAAATCCCCTCGTATAATCGTCAAAATCCATTAAACGTAATGGGAAAAAGCTTTCAGCCAACAACCAACCACCGCCATGGGAAAAATCTACCCGACTCAAATAAGCTACACAAATACCATTGCGAGAATTTTAATTTAAAATCATTTATACACAATGATAAATCACACGATTCCTCGAGGATATTTATTCAAGTAGAAATTAACTTTAGATATTTGGAATCTCAAGTTAATTGTAGATTAAAATAGTTTGTTTTTGCTATACCTTATCCCAAGTTAGGGTTCAAATACTGTGCAAACCAATTACAAGAATCCAATGCAAGAGACAAATAGACAAATTTCCTATTAATTTTTTAAATATTTTTTTAGTTGTCCGATATAAATAAACACCCTTGGGTTACTGCCGGAGGCAAAGGCGAATTAGAATTGGAACAACCCATGATGGAAGTAGTCCAAACCCACGTTTTACCGTCCATTGAATCTGTCGATCCAGACGTTTTGCAGGCCATTTGCAGTTTGGGTTGTTTTAAGGAGAAAGAGAAATTGATACAGCATTTGCTTAGTCCCAGGTAAGAATCTTTTCAATAAACATATAACTTTCATATTTCTAAATATTTCTTTCAGTCATAATACCGAAAAAGTAATCTACTTCCTTTTGCTGGAACGGAAACGACGAAGGCCGGCTTTCGAAGACGACACCGATTCGGTATTGAGGATAAGACCAGCCGAGACTGCGGATCCTCCAAAGAAAAGGATCGACACTTGTAGGGTAAACGGACAAACTCCTTTACAGTTCGGACAAATTAGCGAAGGGTCGCCGTTGACGCCGCGAAGGTCCCATTACAAACGACATCACGCCAGAAGAAGTCCTTCGACCGGTAGTACCCATAGTAGCCTTAGTATTCATTCGCCAACTAGATCTTCGGGCGCCTCGAGTCCCGTTATGTTTAACAGCACACCTTCGAATAGTCACTGTAAGTGTATAACAGATCGATATAGAATACAAGTTTTGAAAAGTTTTAATCTTTAGCTGGTATGTCCTCGCCAGTTAACCAACGTACGCCGTCCTCTCACCACTCAGCCTCGAATACGCCCTCTCATCGAGCGTCCGCTCATCTGACGTCGAATACTCACGTGACCGTCACCCCTCCGCCCTCTACGCCTACTCACCACAGGGCGAACAGCAGCGGAGGTACTTCGATGTCGCTTACGTCGCCCGAAAGTGATACTAGTAGTTTAGTTACAGGTAATAAATGGACATCTTTATGATACGTCCGTCTGTCTTTAACATCAGCATGAAATTGTTCCTGCTCCCAGTAATTGAGTGGCTAGTAGTTTAATCGCCTATCTTTCCTATGGTCATCACTAATGATGAACTTCAGGATATTATGTTAGAGTTCAGAGTGTCTTCTAAAAAACAGAATATTCGTTTTACTTCAATCCAGTGTCCAACAAATCTTCTGAAAAACGAAATGAAAAACAAACAGGACCTACGTTGTGGAAACTTACTCAATTTTACTTACTTGACATGCTCCCGACATAGGAAATATTAAGGAGAGAAAATAGGCCCCCGTAAATGTCAACCAAATGTCAATATTTCATTGCAAAAACAAATTGAAATGTAAAGAGGATCGTGTCTGTGATAGCAGATATAGCTCATCAAAGTACGTAGGTCCTTGCTACTATGCATAGCAAATATCCGAGGAAATATCCCTTCGTAGATTTTCTTGAATATCTCGAAAAATACTAATCTGATTTGGACCTTTTTGAAGTTTGATACCTACAAAAGGACCCCAAAAACATACTGTTTCATTTTAATAGTTAGTTAGCCAGTTTCACCAGCAGGTACTGAGGTCCCATACGAGAAGCTACTCAGCTGTAGTTGTTTTTGAGCCAATATCTCTAGATTGATTATTTCAATTTGTTTGCTAGGATATTCGCTCGTCAGAGAAGGAAAATGTTAGTAAATTCAACAAGGCCCTAATGCACGTTCTGAATACCCAAAAATTAAAATCCCAGCACAAAATGTAGCACATAATTTCTTAGGTTTAAATTTATTCTTTATCTGCATTGTTTAACTTGTTCACAGCATGGAATGATTTTTGTTAAATCCACGAAGAATGCACATGCTCAAAAACAATATAACGTTTATTCAACTGACCTGTGATCGCTCCTTTCGACACGCAAACTAATCACAAATTGGATTAAACAATCAGTTTAACACGAAATGAAAATAAAAATTGAATAATGAACTATTGCAGATAAGCGTCTAAGGGACCCTCTCTTTTCTAGTCTCTCATTCTCTCTGCCTCCCTTTCGGTGGTACTTTTTTGCTGCGGAGCGCTCCCATTCTCTAAAAAATCCACAGCGCATACAGGGTTGCAACATTCACCTTTTTTTCCTATAGTAGACAGACGTTTTTTTAAAAAGTTAAGATTCAAAGAAATAATATTTCAAATAGGTTGTTTTCCTCAGCTGAGGTTGGATTTTCTAATGTTCTGGCATTCTCTATATGAAAACGAAGGAGTAATCGAAAGAGACAAATCGTTTCAAGTTTCAACACTTTCTTTATTGTCTTAATAGCGTGACGAACCCCATTTCCAATACAAGCAGGTTTCACAGTAAAATTAATCTTCTTCAAACTTGTTAGAAATTTTCCTTCAATAGTTTCGTATGTAAAAGCCTACAAGCCATCATCAACATAAGTACAGTGTTAATTTCATCTTCTCCTGTCTATGCATCCTTGAATTTGAAATTCTCCAGGAAATCTGTAATTGTCTTGTTCAAACATCCAGGAGCTGGTTTAGCTCCATATAAACTTCTCTGAAGCCAAAAAACTCGATCTATGGCAAATTCAAACCCTTCTTTTTGCTTTATGTAAAATTCTAAAATTCCTCTATTACCTTCATGGTTCCGGGGGATATCAGAAGATAAAAATTCCTCAAGCTACCCTAATTCCGAAATTAGGAGAAATTATTCCACTGATTCCTTTCTTTGTAGGAGTCAAGTGCATTGGGGACGCTCAGTGGCGGTGCTGCAGGTATTGCAAAATCTTTAAACGAAACTCAATTCTGCTAAAGATACACTAGCATTTTGTTTTGGTAAACTTCTGGACCTTTCCCTACTTCGAAACTTTAAAACATAGGCTTTTTCCAATATTCAAAGATACAGCTTTCACAGAGTTCACTATCCAGCTGAACATCTTCATTTTGATTATCCAGTCAGGTGAAGATTGATTTTCTAATGGTCTGGCCTTCTCTATAAGGAAATGAAGGAGCAATTGAAAAAGGCAAATCGTTCCAGCACTTTCTTCGTCTTAACACCGTATCCAACCCAATTTTCAATGCAAGAGTTGCAGGTTTCACAGTAACATTCATCTTCTTCTTCAAACTTGTTAGAAACTTTCCTTCAATAGTTACGCATGTAGAAGTCAACAAGCCATCATCAAAATATGTACAGTGTAAGTTTCATCTTCTCCTTGTTACGGGATTATTTTTTCCCCTAAAGTAAAAGTACCCCCATCTAGAAATTTATTACTAAGTTGTCATTTCACCTATACAGGTTTTATTTCGCTATTTTTCAGTACCATCTAACAATAATTGTGGTTATTTACTTAAACATTTCATAGTATATATTGTTACACTTGCTTTATAGTACCGATAGTGCTATTACAGATTCCCGTATTACCTTCCTTTGTACCATTACAGTTTCCTCTATTTGGCAGGCAGTCAGTCAGTAGCAGTACCAGTGTCTCCCAATAGATTCTGTAAAAATTTCTCAAGGTTTTGAAATGGGTACGCCCCACGTTGGGCGCCAATTTGTTACGAATCTGAAGCGATATTTAATATTCAGTGATTTTCTTTTATTTTTCCTTTACAGCTGATTTTTGACATTTAGAATTTTCCTTTATTTTCAGACTGCGACGCGATCACGACTACTCCAATCCTAGAAGATTTTAGTTAAAAATTATCGCTTTTATACCTTCCTTTCTTTGGTGTTGATTTGATTCTTTGTATGCTCTAGGCTGTTTCCTGTTTTGAAATATCTTTTGTTCAGAAACCGACTTACTGCAGGGTTGAAAACAGGTGGGGACTCACCCCACTCACCGGAATTTTGTGGGCTAGTCGGAGCTTCCCGATAAGTCGGATTTCTTCTTTAGGCCACCTTCAAGAGTCATATCCCTCCCTTCACTCTTTTCTCTCTTAGCTTCCTCATGTCGCTTTAGACTCGTAACATCCTGTCTATGCATCCTTGAATTAAAAAATTTTCAGGAAATGTGTAATTGTCTTGTTCTAACAGCCATAAGCTGGTTTAGATCTATATAAACTTCTCTGAAGTCAAAAAAACTCGATCTGTGGCAAATTCAAACCCTCCACGTTTCTTTATGTGAAGTTCTATAATTCCTCTATTACCTTTAAGGTTCCGGGGAAAATCAGAAGATGAAAATTCTTCGAGCTACCCTAATACCGAAATTAGGAGAAATTGTTCCACTGATTCCTTTCTTTGGAGTGTTCAGTGCATTGGGGACACTCAGTGGCGGTGCTGCAGGTATTGCAAAATCTGTAAACGATACCCGATTCTGCTAAAGATAAACTTGCATTTTGTTATGGTAAACTTCTGGATTTTTTCCTACTTCCAAACTTTAAAACATGGGCTTTTTCTAATATCCAAAGATACAGCTTTCACAAAGTTCACTATCCAGCTGAACATCTTCATTTTGATTATCCAGTCAGGTGAAATTGGATTTTCTAATGGTTTGGCCTTCCCTATAAGGAAATGAAGGAGCAATCGAAGAAGGCAAATCGGTCCAGCAATTTCTTTGTCTTAACACCGTGTCCAACCCAAGAGTTGCAGGTTTCACAGTAACATTCATCAACAAGCCATCATCAATAGAAGTACAGTGTAAGTTTCATCTTCTCCTGTCTATGTATCCTTGAATTTAAAATTATCCCGGAAATCTGTAATTGTCTTGTTCCAACATCAAGGAGCTGGTTTAGATCCATATAAACTTCTCTGAAGTCAAAAAACTCGATCTGTGGCAAATTCAAACCCTTCTGGTTGCTTTATATAAAGTTCTATAATTCCTCTATTACCTTTAAGGTTCCGGGGGACATCAGAAGATGAAAATTCCTCGAACTACCCTAATACCAAATTAGAAGAAATTATTCCACTGATTCCTCTCTTTGCAGGGCTTAGTGCATTGGGGACACTCAGTGGCGGTGCTGCAGGTATTGCAAAATCTGTAAACGATATACCCAATTCTGCTAAATATAAATTCGCATTTTGTTATGGTAAACTTCTGGACCTTTCCCTACTTCCAAAACTTAAAACATGAGCTTTTTCCAATATCCAAAGATACAGCTTTCACAGAGTTCACTATCCAGCTAAACATCTTCATTTTGATTTTGTCTTCGCCACCAAACTTATCTACAATTCTTATTTTTCAGGTTCTAATATTTTAAATCCAATGACCCCACCGGGCTCACCCCACCTGAGTACGACCAGTCATCATTGGCGAACGCGCCTGACGACCATCAAAAATAGCTTTTTAGGATCACCGCGGTTCCATCGAAGGAAATTACAAAGTAAATTTGTTGCCAAACCTCTGAATCCTTATATTAAATGAAATATTTTTACAGCATCCTCGGAAGAAGTTCACTTGACGCCGGAATCGTCACCAGAACTAACCAAGAAATCTTGGTTCGGTAGTCTGATGACGACGGAAAAAGATGAAACGTTTACTATATTAGTAAAAGGCAAACCTTTGGCTAGTGTTAAAGCTGATTTGATTCATGCATTTTTATCGGTAAGTCTTATATGTTACAAATTATAAGTTACTAATTATTTATTTCAGATAGCAGAACTTAGTCATTCCGTATCAAGTCCAATGTCATTTAGGGTAGAATATAAAAGGGGTACAACGGGTCCTGCCATGTTTCAGCGGCACGTAAGATTCCAAGTTGATATATCAATTATAACTAAGCAAACTGATAACACCAAAGAGCATTTGTATGCGATTACTTTTACTTTATTGTCAGGTAAATATAAGGAGTGTTGATTATTAACAATTGCCTAACAATAAATGTACTCAGGTAATATCCGACGATTTAGAAGAGTATGCGAACATATTCAAGCTCAAGTTTGTACAAGAAGACCGCCGCCCAGCCCGAGAGCTCAAAGAAAATTTACTACTGAACTGAGCGAAAGTTCCAGTTGTGGCTCAGATTCTAGTGAATTGTATTTGAGTACTCGACAGGTAATATTTTTCATTCAAATTTTTTTACGTAATATGCATGTTTTTTTCTTGTAGGTAAACGTTCTCCAACTCGAAACTAGCGACATAGAAAGCGAATGCAGCGTCTTCGACGTTCGCACAGCATCTCGCGACGTGTCCAGACGTGCATCGACCAACAACAACACGGAATCGCTGGAACAGAACCCGCCCGGCACCCCGAAAGCGGTACGATCCAACTCGGAAAACACCGACTCGTGCGAGAAAACTTGCATGACCACAATGTCCGGCAGTTCTATTGCGTAATATTGGTTAGTAGTTATCGTAAGTAGGGTATGGAATTATTTTCAGTTTTATCTGGAACTTTTCGGTTGTTGGAACGGGGTGGTCTTCAGGCGGGTCAAAATGAGGCGAGTATGGTACGAGTGGTACAAGTATTTTAGGAATTTTTATGAAGAATAGACTGGGAATATTACAGATGTGGTATTATTTTGGTCGCTTCAGTGGATTGAGAATCTTAGAGGATTTTCCACATCTGTTTTGTTGTTTTTTTTAAAGGGATATTTACAAGATGATTAAATTTTTTAATTAATGCGTATCCTTCTCATGTCTTTCTTGGACCCTCCTTTGTTGATTTCCTTAATTCATTCTAGTACACATAACGGCAAGGACAGAAATGCTATCTCAATCTGGAAATATTCAACTTCCCATAAGTTTCTTTTGATTGGTATCAATTTTTTGAGGAGGGACTGAAGTCCCTAGCCTACTGAGGAAACGGAGATAAATTTCAGAGTAACTGAGATAGGCCTAGAATTTTTTAAAAACTCTCAAATGTGATTTGCGGGAAACTTTTGGATTTTCTTCACAAGAAAAACAATTTTAACTCCATTTACGAGTTCTGGATCCACTTGCAGTTTATTTTTCCTGAAAAAAGTGACTGTAAGCTTAAAATCCTGGGAAGTTAAAAGTCACTGTGATGCTTAGTATTTTCAAGAGGTTCTCAAACGCTATTTCAGGATAATTTTTGGATTTTCTTTAAAGATCCTCAAGGATAACAATTCTAGATCAACTTGCGGTTTATTTTTCTGGATAAAAGGGACTCTAATCTATGAATCCTGGAAGATTAAATTCCCTCTAACGCAAAGTAAAACTTCTCCAGGTTTGCATGGTTCTGAAAAACCTCCAAATTTGAATGGATAATAGAAAGAATAAGAATATTTTATTAATTCAGGACAACCTTAGCAATACTGGGAATGTTTATTCTGTAGTAGTAAAGATGGTCATTCGCTAGATAAATTTAAATTGAAGTTATACTACCGGGCCTTACAAAAAAAATTACCAATTTTTGGAAAGTGCGAAGGAGATAGACTACAAATTCCCTATAATATTCACTACTTTCCTCATCATTTACTACAAAAATCTAATCATCTTGAAGTTAAATCCCCGACAAAATAACAAATTATTCAAAATGATTTGAAAGCAATTTCAATTTATTTTATACTAAAATATTAGTTCAATTATTTGTTTATTGTGTTTTAATTATTATTATTCGCTATTTTAAATATTATATTTGTTGTTAACGTTACCGTTAAATCTGTAAATACTAGTCAAGAAAAAAATTGCCTGAAATAGCTTTTAAAACGTTGAAGCAAAAGTAAAGAGCAATTATAAGGTATTGTGCAAAATACAAAACTAAATCAAAAATAAAAACATACGCCAAATAATCTAATGAATTAAGAATTCTCGAAATATACTGGACTTGATAAGAATAAATAAATTTGCTCAAAAATTTTCAGAAAATAAATTAAAATCAAGAAATAATTACTTAATTATTATTATTATGAAGCCTGGTATAATACAATCGCAATATGAATTATTTATGTGCAATATTGATTATAAACTTAAATATACAGGGTGTGTCATACGTTTTTTAATTGATTTACAGTTAATTTTGTTTAAAAAGTCGCCTCCCCGCACCCTCAAAAATGAATAAAAACAAAACGAGCACCCGAAAAAAAAAAAACTTGTTCAATATAACTATTTTTGGTATTAAAAACTAAAATAGGTTGAATGTTTTTGACAAAATCTAAAACACCAAATAAAGTATTAAGTAGTAGCGCATATAATAATAATATAATGATGAAAACTATATAGAAATTGTTAAGGGAAAATTTAAATCAGTGAGGTTGATTCAAGTATATGTGTTTTAGTTTTATTTTGAAATAATATATGTTTCAAGGTGGTTTGTATCAAAAGATATTTTTGTATAGGAAATTTGCGGCATTTTCAACCCCTACATTGGGTTCTTGTAATTGGTTTATATATACAAGTGCTAAAAGTCTAATTATTTTGATCTTTATCTTGAAATAAGTATGACTGACTTTATAGTGATAGATTTTTTATTTCTTGAGAATGCAATTCACATAATTTCAAATAAGTTTATTTAGTAACCGTACACAATTTGTTTAAAATTAGTAAATAACAGGTCTGCAGCATGGGTTGTAAACATTAAAATAATACAATAGCTCAACTTTAAACTACTTTTCTAACACTGAATTAGATTCTCGAATTCCCAATTCAACCCCTTGACAATAGTTATATCCACAGATTTACGACATTACTTTTCCCACCTGGCCAACAATGGCACCCCAAACATATAAAACTACAAAAATAAAAGTAACTTATCGATATCTAAAACAACTATTCACTTTCACAGTTCTAGAAAAACGCAACAACACAGACACAATACACCACACTAAACATCTTTGATACAAACCACTCGAATTTGAATTTACATAAACAGCTCTATAAAACAATTATTTTATTACAATATTCCATGTATGTATCATAATATACTTTAACAAATTGATTATATAAACTATATACCTTGTCATCCAGTCGAAAAAAATCTAATTTAAAAATGTAATAGGCTTTATGTAAATATGCAAAAAAAATCTGTGCGCGCTTATGTAATTTGACTTGTTCTAATTCAATGTAAGTGTCCGAAAATTATCTAATTCTATATAATTATTATTACGCTGTTATGTAAGTACATCAGGCAGTTTGGCTAGATTTTGATAGCTGAAATGCCTCTTCGTCATTCGAATTATACATATGAATAAACCCCAGCCGATTTTAGCGAAAAAAGAAAATCATATTGTTATTAGATAGGGAAAAAAGGGTCGTACTTAGGTATGTATATAAAATAATTTGACAGTTTTAAACTTTTCCATCAACTCAATTGTATGAAAAAGATTAAAATTGCCCTTATAAATAGCTAAAAACTATAGTCCATGAAATTTAGGCTCTAATAACTTTGTAAAATGTCCAAAATTATGGGGCGACGATTATGGGAAATTGCAGGTGAGCACAAAAGCCTCAGAGTTATCACACCTGTAGTTAAAAAATTACCAATCTCTTAACTGTGTTTATCTGCAATTATATCCAAATTTTGAAAATAAGCATTTTTGTAAACATATCATGCTACATCATTTATGATTTGTTTGTACTTACTTTTGCCTTTTGTCTACCATACAACTTATTTAAAACTCGAAAAAGTTTTAATTAATTTATAAATGAAGTTGAAATACTGCAATTTGCTTATTATACCTCTGATTGTTTAGTTGATTTTTTGGGTGTAAAAAATACATAGAACTATTTCCTGTTTATAAATAAATATTTCAGCTATAAATATTTGTCGTTGGCGTTTGTGTTTAAGTTTTTTTCAAGTGATTAATTTATTAATTGAATTATAAATTATACTGTGTAAGTGCTTGTAAATAATATTGTGATAATAATAAATCAATTTGCACAATATGAAAAAAAAGTTGTTTTGTGTTACGAACTCCCAAAAGAAGTTTGCAAGGCTTTAAGAAAGTATTTCTTTAGTACTTTCTTGGTAGGTATGTATATTTCAAAAGAAAATTGAGATGCTAACGATATGTTTAGAAGATATCTAATTTCATTGTATTGAAACTAGAAGCGTCGTTGAACAAATAACACCCGACAATGATGGAACATATTAAATTTCAAACCAATTACCGTATAAGTAAGTGTAGTGCTTACACCTGTCGTTTGTTCCTTTGTTACTAGTTCCCCTATTAAGTGTGTAATCTAAATCGCCGTAAAATTATAGATACAGAATAACGGAACATTATCATTTTAGTTTTTATGGAAGAATATGGTATAATAATACTTGTGACAGATATTATAGAGAGTTAATATAATCAATCTGTTAATAAGAGACATGGATCGGCGTTGTTCTAAGGAAAGAATGAAATCTCTGTTATTCTTTTATTCTCGTTCAAAGCTGATTTGTCTACAGTCCTGTCAAATTCCAACATTAACATCTAGCTTGACTTGAAGGAGAAGTAGTCTTGGGGTAGAGTATCTAGAATCTTACAGACTAACAGCAACTCATAAGGTAACTGACAATTACATGTTTTACTTTACTTGTAATGATTCTGTCTTTTGATAACCCTTTTTGCAACTCATCCCAGAGATTCTTGAGCTTAGGCGTGTTCGTTACCATATCATCTTCAACTTTTCTTCTTATAGTTAAAGAAATCTAAACAAATATCATAGGTTTTGTCTTCGACATTGCCATCACACTTCTCCTATTGTAGAAGAAGCATTATTACAATCTGCTATATTGGTACGTTTTTTCTTTGAAAACTGAGAGCAGCAACTTTCCTTCCAAAACATCAAATTAGAATACCTCTTAGCAGAATGTTCATTTTGTACTTCCATGTGGTCCAATAAGCTTTATCATCGAGTAATCCCATATGAACTATGGTTATATTATATCCATCCTCCTATTCCATAGTTTAATGACTACTTTTTCTTACCAATTCAACCCTTGATATTCTCAATTTTTCTCGCCTTCGTTACCATGTTAAAGTATAAATCTTAATGATTCAAATTACTTCTAAAAAAAATAGGGTAAAACTTACGGCCAATGTAATGGCTAATTACCTACGATGTTACTAATATTCCCACCCTGTTCTCCCTACATTTATTTAACCCTAACCTTCCCCTTGGGTTGCGTCACGTGCCAGCTTTTGCCGGTCTGTTCAACACGATGTTCAATGTTTGTATCGAAACAAACATCCATTATAATATTAGCCAGCAGTATTTCCTTTTCAACTGAAAAACTATGCAGCTAAAATAGGTTTGTTAGTTGTACAATAATGATTCTACAGCCCTGCAATGTAGAACTTACTAAAGTGCATTATTACGATCGGAACAAGAGGTAAGTATAACCGGTGCAATTACATATTGAATTATGAAACTTGAATTTTTAGATCACAAAATATGTCCGTATCCACTATAAGCAGAGAAATGTATCAAAATAGCTTTAATAAAAATATGATTATCAAAAAGAATATTTTCGGACATAGATGGGTTCTGAAAATAAACGAACAAATAGACCCGGAACCCAAAAAGAAAAACCAATTTTTATTTGTTTATATTTTGGTGTTTATTAGTCTTATTTTAGCTGTGAGTTTTGGAATTATATTTTCTTTAGGTAAGTACCTACTGTTTTTGCATTTTAAAGTTAATTTTCTTTACCTTCAAATTAATAACATTCAATTTGATTTATGCTTGGGTGCGCTTCAGTGAGGATGATCAAGGCAAACCAGAAAATAAAATATGTGTTTCTGGCTTCTTGAACCTATTTTTCAAGATGTTTTTTGTAAAATTTTCCTAAAGTCGTTTAAAGTAGGCTGATAATATGACATATTTCAGATTACAACACATTCAGGGCAGAAAATAAAACTACACTAAATAGAGGCAAAATTTTAGAACAAAATGAAACAAATTTGGAAAATAATACAATTTATATAACAGACGAAAGTAACTTCGCACATCAGAATTTAGAAATTATTAGGACATTACCAAAAAACGATAATAATTATAATAATGGATCTCGATACAAGGTAAACTAAAATTGTTTCTAATTTTCACATGTGTATCTGTACCTACATATTGTAATTTTTCAAGAATTACAATAAGTGGATTTGAAGTAGGTAAAATCGAGGAGGTAGTCATTTATCAATTTGTGGAGATCTTCTTCAAACTCCATAGATCATAGATCTCCATGGATCTCCTGAGATCTCCAGGCATATCCTTGGATTTCCCCGTATCTCCTTCGGACCTGCATATAGATCAATAACCACTCTACCCCAACTTGTGGATCTTCACGTATCTCCAGTGAGCTCCATATTTTTCCACTCCACCGAATATTCATGGATTTCCACAGATCTCCATGAGATCTTCATCCCGTAGGACAGTAGATTTCCACAGTCGCTACCACCTTGGACATCAGTCATTTTTTTTGGACAGAAAGTCTCCATTTGTGGAGATCTTCTCCACAGAACTCCATGAATATCCTTGCATGGATTTCCATTAAGATCATTTGGTTTTTCATGGATTTCCGTGTATCTCCTCCAAACCTCCATATAGGTAAAGGGTGTTTTTTCATATATTGTCATCCCCTAGAGCCTTTACCTTTACAGGTAGAAGAAAGGTATAAATACAAAAGTTTTGGCTGAATTTTTAGAAACTATGGTCAGAAACAGAAATGTGAAATTTTGCATGCCTCCAACTTTTTTCAAATTGGATGCCCTATATTTCATTCTATATTCTTGAAGAGCACAATGCCCCGATTCCAAAAATATATAGTTTGTCTATATTTGATTTAACAGTATCTCATATATTTGGCTCCAAAAATTGTAAAAATACTATCCTACTACTGATTTTGTGAACCATTCTACTTGTACAGATGAAAGCTGCAGGTAAAATTTGAGGTATAGAATTTTTAATACCTATTTAGAAGTACCAGTCGTTCTAGTGAATAAACGTATGTCGCTTCTTGAACAGACAAATAAAATTAGGTTAGGAATTTCCTATTTGTACTTGAATTTGACGTATTAGCAATCGACATTCGTTTTTGTTGGTAATTTTTTGTTTCATGCATCTGATTCGTGATTATTAAATAAGGATGGGGTTATTCTAAATGGGTACTAAAAATACTATAGGTAGGTATATACTTGGTTTCTCTGATGGTATTTTTAAAATTTTTAGAACCAAATATGTTGCAGACGGCTCAACCAAATATAGACAAACTATATAGTTTTGGAATCGGGAAATTGTGCTCTTCAAGAATTTAGAACCAAATATAGGGCATCCCATTTGAAAAAAGCTGAAAGCATGCAACATTTCACATTTCCGACACTCAGTTTTTGTTTCTGACCATGGATTCTAAAAATTTAGCCAATACTGTACAACTTTTGTATTTACACCTTTCATCTACTTGTAAAGGTGCAGGCTGTAGGTGGGGTGTCAATATATAAAAAACCACCCTGTATTTGAACAATAACTTATTAAGTATATATAAAGTCAGAATTTGTAAGATTATAACGATACTAACATGACTCACTCAAATGTCAGTTATTCTCATTAGTTCAAAAACTACAGGTTTCAGGTGAGTGTCTTATTTGAATAGTTCAATAGTATTTTGGTGAATAGATGGTGAGAAAGATAGTCCACCCGTATAAGTTCCGCAATAATCCACTTATTTGTACTTGAACAATAACATTATATAAAGTCAAAATTTGCAAGATCCATTCACTTTTTGTCAATTTGCCTTTTGAAAGGAATTGGTAATGTCACTTAGTCACTTTACCAAACTAGTAATATAATGTGACAAGTTATTCAAGTACAAACGAGTAGATTGTTGCGGAACTTATGGGTGGACCTCTGCGGGACGAGCGCAGCGAGTTCCGCAGCCATCTATTCATCAATATGTTGTTTAATTACGATACTAACCTGACTCACTCAAACGTGAGTAATTCTCATTAGTTTAAAAACTACTCGTTTCAGAGGTGAATGTCTTAATTGAACAGTTCAACAGTATATTGGTGAGTAGATGGCTGCGGAACTCGCTGCGCTCGTCCCGCAGAGGTCCACCCATAAGTTCCGCAATAACTCACCTATTTGTACTTGAACAATAACTTATTATATAAAGTCAGAATTTGTAGGATTATCCATTTTTTTTTCAATTTGCCTTTTAACAGGAATTAGTAATGTTACTTTACCAAACTAGTAATATATTGTGACAAATTATTCAGGTACAAACGAGTGGATTGTTGCGGAACTTATGGGTGGACCCAGCCCTATATTCACCAATATGTTGTTCAAGTAAAATACTAACCTGATTCACTCAGTTGTGAATTTTTCTCGTTAGTTCAAAAACTACTCGTTTCAGGTGAGTGTCTTATTTGAACAGTTCAACAGTATTTTGGTGAGTAGATGGCTGCGAAACTCGCTGTGCTCGTCCCGCAGAGGTCCACCCATAAGTTCCGCAATAATCCACTTATTTGTACAGGGTGTTTTTTTATATACTGACACCCCACCTACAGCCTTTACCTTTACAGGTAGAAAAAAGGTGTAAATACAAAAGTTGTACAGTTTTGGCTGAATTTTTAGAAACCATGGTCAGAAACAAAATTTGAATGTCAGAAATGTCAAATTTTGCATGCTTCCAGCTTTTTTCAAATGGGATGCCCTATATTTCATTCTATATTCTTGAAGAGCACAATGCCCCGATCTATATTTGATTGAGCAATCTCTCATATATTCGGCTCCAAAAATTGTAAAAATACTATCCTACTACTGATTTTTTACCTGTATAGGTGAAAGCTGTAAGTTAAATTTGAGGTAAAGTTTGTTTCGCCAGGGTTTGTACTTGCCACCAGCATTTGCCTTCCTTGTTTAACAAATAAAAATTCAGTGAAACAAATCAATGACGTCAAAAATGTTCGTCGGTTCTTAAACCAGAAGTCATTCATTTTAATTTGTCAAAATATTGAATGTGTCATATGAATTAATCTACGACAACCCTTTTTTTTCAAGTTTCAAGGTCAAGTATGAACCCTGGTGAAACGGACCTTACTTGGTATCTCTGATAGTATTTTAAAAAATTTTAGAACCAAATATGTTGGAGGCGGCTCAACCAAATATCAACAAACTATATAGTTTTGGAATCGGGAAATTGTGCTCTTCAAGAATATAGAACCAAATATAGCGCATCCCATTTGAAAAAAGCTGAAAGCATATAATATTTCACATTTCTGTTATTCAATTTTTGTGTCTGACCATGGATTCCAAAAAGTTAGCCAATACTGTACAACTTTTGTATTTACACCTTTCATCTACCTGTAAAGGTAAAGGCTGTAGGTGGGGTGTCAATATATATAAAAAAAATATCCTGTACATTAATCACGGTACTTACCAGTTCAAATGCAGCCGAAGTTTTTGGATCTCCATAAATATCCATCATGGATTTCCATTCCACTGAGGTCTCGATCTTGTAGGACAAAAGATTTTCACAATGACTACCCCCTTGAGTAAAACTTCCTATCTCAACCAGAAAAGTTCTTCTTCATATAGAAAAGATCTTAAAATTATAAATTTTTTGTTTAGGAAACTGATACATCGAACCCATATTGCCAAAACTGTACAAACAACGAAGTTTGCATGAAAACTCGAGAAACTGAGAAGCCAAGATGTATTCTGATGACTGATAAAAGAGATCCCACAGGTGAAAATCGATTCAATTGACAATAAGTTGTCTCAATCTTAAATTTTTCAGGATGTGGTGGATTATGCAAGATCAATACAGAATATTGCAAAAACCTGGACAAACTATTCCAGGTGTATCAGTGTTTGAAATTGAAAAATTTACTCAAATGTCCCGAAAAAACTTTCAACTGTGGCAACATGTGCATTCCATTGGAAAAACGTTGTAACGGGCAGATTGATTGTATCAATATGATGGATGAGAAAGAGTGTGGTAAGATTTGAAAGAAATTTCATAAAAATCAAATCCATATTGATGTAAAAGCAATTATTTTACATTTTGTCTGAAAAATTTATAAGACTAGTGAGGTTTTCAGTCAAATTGTAAAATTCCTCCTGATTGTTTTTATACGTGCTTTATATACAAAAACTTTCAAGCGAGAAACCTCTAAAATACCATTTTGTTTTAGAATGCAATTTAACTAGTCATTTCCATTGTGGCAACCAAACATCTTGTTTAGCAAAAGAGAAGATTTGCAATGGAAAAGTAGATTGCTGGGATAAATCTGATGAAATTCATTGTCAAAAAAGTCTGTAAATTGGAATTTTATATTTAAAAAAAAATCACATTGTTCAATTTTTAGATATTTTCTGTGAAGAAAACTATATCCCTTGCACAAACGGGCAATGTATCCCGAAAGAGAAAATGTGTGACAATAAGCCAGACTGCTTAGATAGAACTGATGAACCGTTTTGGTGCCAACAAATTACAAAATCTAAGTTTTGAGTCGAAATTTTGATAATCACCGGCTCTTGATTGATTCAGCAAATCAAAAGCCTGTAATGGATTCAAATTTTGATTGTAACTGGTTTATTGATTTGCTGAATTATTTTTCCAAGGCCAATCAAAGACCCCAAATAGTTGATTGATTATTACTGGTTCTTGATTTGCTGGGCATTTTTTAAAGAGAAAATGTATCAGTCCAAATTTTGATCATTACCGGCCTTTGATTGTCTCTAAAACAGTTGTTCAGCAAATCAAGAGCCTGTAATGATTGAAATTTTGATTGTTCTGTGAAAGCACTATTTTTATATTTTCTTTTTTAAATAAAAATAAATCACAAAATTGAAAAACTGTTCTAATTTAATATCCTTGTATTTATCAAAAAATAAATAGTCAAATTATCACAATAACACATATACAAAAAAAACATAAAGTAAATATAAATATGAGGCTTATAAATAAATTATAAATCTACACAAAAGTTAGATAAAAAGTCTAAAAGAAAAGTGAACCTATTTTCTGTACTATTACTATAGTCCACAAGCTTTTTAAGAAAATACGAAAAGTTCTTCAAAGTATCCTACAAAAAACATCCATTACAAATGTATTAACGCAAAAACATGCCAACTCACCTCATCCCAATCCCGATTATAAAATCCAGTACACTGAGATTCAAGCTCTTCTTTGTCAATTAGATTGTTATTAAAAAGGCAGGAAACGATTCTAGCGAATACATCCCACGAATCTCTTTTTTTGTACGAATCTTGAAGCAGTTTTACATTTCTTTGACAAAATAAAGCCTTAAAATGGGAATTTGATGTTAGCTGTAAAGCCCAAATATTGACAAAATATTCTAATAGTTCTTGGGTTAAAATTGAAGGAACTTTAGAAGCTAAAAATAATTATATAGATTGAATACAATAGAGTTTTATGCATTTATACTTACCTATTAATAAACAAAAATCAAAAACAGTAACACATATAGTGACTGAAATCATATCGCTGAGATCATTTCTTTGTGTCAATGAATTATAAGTTTGTTGCAGGAGGTTTATCACAAAATATTTGTCGATACTGTTGGTTTCTATAAGTATACAGCAAGCTTCCTATTAAAAATCCAATATTAAAATTTTTCTAGCAGGAAAAAGCTTATCTTACCCTAACATTGTTGAGAGAATGAAATCCACTCAAAGTTTCATCATTGTGGTCACACTCTCTGCCACCAGCTGGAAGTACACAAGCGATTTTCTCTTTCTCAATTCTTCGTCCATTAGTGAGTTTCTAAAAGTCATGGGAAATCTTCACAAATGATTTATTCTATAAAAATGCAAATTTTTGGCTTAAGAATTTGAGCATGAATGGAAATAACACAAGTACGATTGTATTCAAATATGTTTTTGATGAAAATCAGGAGCAAATAGTTTCAAAGAGGGGCAAAATCCAACAAATGAATTGAAATTTTCAAGAATCAAGAAAAATATAGTTACCCTTTGAATTTCCCCATCAAAATCCTTAGTAAACACATTCAAATTAACGTGACTATTTAACCATTGTTTCACTCGCTCCGAATACATTTTCTCAGTGATTCCAGTGCAAACTTTTTTAGTTTCTTCCAGCGCATCCACTGGCAGTAGACTGTCAATACAAACTGGAATTTTTTGTCGAGATATTTTTTGTACTTCTTCGTCGCAGTTTTCCAAAAATCGAGACAGATGGGTTTGAGCTAGAGCAGTCGCTTGCATTCTGAGAAGAGTCTGAAATACCAATAGACTTTGCTCGAAAATTATTGCTACTAATCATTGTATACCTTTTTTTGTTCTCCGTCATTAATACTATCATCACTTTCACTTTTGAGCAATGTCCCTTTAAATTCCTTATTGGCTTCTTCTTTGGCTTTAGGAACTAAATCGTGACAAATATATTTAACTGCTGTCGAAGCAATTCTTTCACTAACAAATTCTATTGTTTTTCTCAAAGATGTTGATTGGCCACTGAAGAAAGCTTCTTCTAATTGTTGCTATTTAAAAAAAAAACACATTGTATAATTTTCAATTTTTTAGAATTAATATTGTTACCTCTAACTTTTTTCTACCCATCTCAGTATGAGATTCCACAGCAGTCACAGGTGTAATATACTTTACAGCAACTTTACTTCCAGGACCATTCATTAACAATATTTTCTTGATTTCTCCCAAAAACGGACAACACAGAGACAAAACACTTTGATTCGCTATAGCTTTATCATCCAAAAAGTAACTTTTCAATTTTTTGTTGCCATTTAAATGTCTATCAATTTTGGGATTTTTTATGCAAAAATTATAGTATTCAATGTCAGGAAAATGGGGTAGCTCAAATAGCCAACCTAGACAAAACTTGACTAGGGCGGCGTTAGATTGCGACTGTTCTTTACTGTTGTAATTCTGATATAATTGAAATAATATACAATTGACTGTGGTGTAGTAAGGCAATCGTAGAGTGACATAGTCTAACATTGCCAAATATTTCGTCAGCCAAGGTATAATAAAAACTACCGTGTGTTTTTCTATGGATAATTCTAGTAGGCATTTGATGTTTAGAGCTGGGATTGTCTGAAAAATTTAGTTATATCGATTGTGCTGAATTAATAAAACCATAAACCCACCTGTTGTCTAGTCTTAACTTGAGATTGTAAAACATTTTTTGGTAAATTAACATTATCAAACTGGTAAGGTAGTGATTCAATAAATCCTAAAAATTTTGCTAATATTCTTAAATCTTTAATACAATTTATGTATAATTGTCTAGTATTTTCATCTACTTCGTTACCTGTAACAAAATTACATAATATTTATTTGTAGCATTAGATATAACTACAACAGGGAAAATTAGGGAAACAGACAAAATTTGACTTTGACATCAATTTTCTCTTGAACCCTCTGCTCGACTTCGGCGAATTTTTCAAAGATTGTAGCTTGATTCTTCAGGAATACATCTAACCTATTAGCGTTATTAAATTATTCGTCTTTATACCATATACAGGGATGGAAAGAAAGTCAGAAATTTTCAGTTTTTTGAGACACCCAACTACTGGAAATTCAGAACAGTTTTCAATACTTAACTTGAAGTAAACATTCACACACACGACTTGAAGTTAAAAAACGACACATTTTCATATGCAATTTGTATGTCGATGTGGAGAAAATTAAGGTCAATATGCATCTTTACTTCGAAACTCTGTATTTTCAATAATATTGAAAATATCAGAGTGAATAAAAAATGCAAATGTTCGGAAAAGATTGGGCTATAATTTGGTGTTGAAAACTTTTCTGAATTTCCAGTGGTTCACTCCACAGGGTGTCTCAAAAAACTACTGAGTGTCTTTCCATCCCTGTATACGATATAAAAACGAATCATTTGATAACGGTAATGCATCAGATGTAATTCTGAAGGATCAAGCTACAATCTGTGAAAAATTCATCGAAATCGAGCGGAGGGTTCAAGACAAGAGAAAATTAATGTCAAATTTATTGTAAATTTTGTCCGTTCCCCTAATTTTACCGGTGTGTGTATGAAGCTACTTACTCTCGTCTTCTAATTCTGTACCAGAAAACTTGGTATCATTAAGTTCAACAATATCGGAAACAAAAATATCGCACAAATGCTTATGGAAAAAACAATTTCCAGACACAACTATAAACTCCTTGAAGAACTCTTGATAGCCTGAGAATACTGGAGGGGCATTAATACCATTGGAAACTTGTTTAGTCACCAAACGACTTGTTAATCTATTAAGCTTATCTGCATCTATCGACAATTGAGGCAGAAATGAGAGGTTGCTTTCTGAAAGACCCTTTTCCTATATATAAATAAAAAAACACACAATAAATTCACCAATAATAATTAAAACACAAATATTACCTTTGGCCCTCTAGCACAACTACTTAAAAGCTGATTCTTAAACAACCTGGCTAAGTGTGCATAATTTGTAGGTCCAGCGTGAAACTTGAATAAACTTCTAATCCTGCTTTCAAGCCCTAACGAAAAGATCCAATCTTTTTCCAAATGATGCGTTTCCCAAACTCTCAAAATCTCATAAAACAAATCGCGTTGTTTTTTAAATGCGTGAAAACTTATTTGATCAGGAAAATTTTCTTTGTTGTCAGTATCAATGTTAAAACACACATTACTTTGAGAACTGTCAGTTATCAGTTCAATACAAGCCGATTCAGCCTTTTTTTCCGAATATGTCAATAGTCTTTTGGATAAACCCGGACAAAATTCACGAACCCTTTCATTCTCAGCTAATAATCTTATTGTTGTTTTATCATAAAATTGTATAATTCTAATTTGGGTTTCTAGACTTTTAACGGCAAAATATAAAACATTGTGCGCAGTTTTAAAAATTTCCGAATTACATAGACTATTCTTAGGTTCCAAAACTTCAACTCCTAAATTTTCAAACTCAAGCTGTATGCTTAAAACTAAAGAAATTAAAAAATAAATTTCACTAGTGATGTTTAAAACTAAATTGTTATCTAAAATTGTCTTATAAATATCTACAACATTATTTATATTGTTTTTATAAGTTACTAAGCTAAGCATTGGCTTAATGTCTGAATTAGTTGAGCTATTATGTCTTATCTTTATTAGAGGATGGCTAGTGTTTTCTATGCTGTCTCTACGAGACAAAATCTTTTGCTTTTCCTCTAGAAGTAAATTTCTTTGTTCTATCGCTACATTATTAGAAACTTCTGTATTTTTTTGAAAATTAAAACTATTTTCAGTTTTTTGAAATCCACTGTTTACTTGTTTGGGACAAATATTTGTAGGGTTTATTCTACGAGATGTTTCCTTTTTTGTGTCTATAGATTCTAGGCTTTGCCTTTTCTTTTTTGAACTATTTCTAGGTGCTGTGAGAAAGTCTCCTAGCGAAAACGTATATTTGTCAACGGATCTTCTTGTTTGCTTAATTTCTTTAGGATTTTGATATAGGGGCGAAATAGGGCTGAAGCAGCTACTGTCATTTCTATTTCCTGGCGAATAAAAGGTTTTAATTGGAGTTTTATGCTGTTCCACCAATGATTTATCTGAGCAAGGACTTTGATCTGTTGGCTGAGCATTAAATAAGTTTACTTTGATTATTTTATGGGCATCTTTTGGAGTAGGATTTTGCACTTTCTCTATGTGCTTAGGAGTATTGAGCTTGTTAGGAGTGTCCGATAATTTATTTTTACTGAAACGAGAAAAAGTAGTTAATAGGTTTGTTTCTGCAGAAATCACAAACCAGTCAGAGTGAATTTCATTGGTTAAAACTAGTTTTCTAACTGTTTTCAACCAATGAAGTTCGCTCTGACTGATTTGTGATTTCTGCAGGAACAGACCTATTTAGTTTTACTGGTTTTAATTGAAAGAAAATTATGTATCATGTATACAAAAGTTACAAAAAATAAGAATATTCTGTATTGGGGTTGGGCCTATTTGGACCACTTCCAATAGTAAATAAATGTCAATTTCTGAGTGATTTACAAGAAAATTAATCCCTGAATCTGAGGCTCAAGTTTCATGAAACTGTCATTGGTGCAAACCGCATTTTGATATATTAAACCGTTTTGTGAAAGTTTCATTAACTTTTCCATTTATGAAAATAATTGATTTTTGTATAAAGGTACTTTTCCAAACAGAATCCAGTGACGTTCTCAATTTTTTGGTATTTGGCCCTGATTTCAAGATATTGATCAAAGTCCGATTTTTTTAATAGAACATTGATAGTACATTGATAGCTCATTGGATAGCACTGCTTTTACTGATTTCAATAATATGGGGTTTAATAGGTTTATTTTCGATAGTTACTTTCAATAGTTAGTTAATAGACAAGTAAAAGAGTGAATTGAGTTTTTGTCTTAAGAATCAATGTCCTAGAAAAGGACTTTATATTCAGTAGGGGAAATCAGAAAGACCTCTTTCTAACCCATATTGTTTCTTATGACAAAAGCAGATATAATTTTTTAATTTATCATTGAAAAATTTTGGTTTGCGCCAATGAAGATTTCATGAAATCTGAGCTGAGCCTTAGGGTGGGAGGTTATTTTATTATTATTATTATTATCTTGCTCAGAAATTGACGTTTCCCAATAAAAATAACACATTTAAAACTCTCTCTCATGCAAAATTTCCATTCAACCTAGGTACTTTTAGCAGGGATGCCATGTTTTTTCCTATTACTTAGTAGATTTTAAGAAAGATTTGGCAACATGGAGACAAACATTTGGGTTCATTGTAATTGTTGTAGGTACTACGTAACAAGAGTTCACCAAATTTACCGAGGATTATACCTACCCTTTGTCTTTGTCTAATAGTTAATAACAGACAAGGATACAAGCATGACAAATTTTAGGAATTTTGATTCGAATCCACGAGCTAGACAAAGATATAGTCCGTTGCATGGTTCTTGAGCTACGACTACTGAATAGACAGAGGGAACAATGGGCTATTGCTGTGTTGTCATATCAATAATATTAATTATTACATGAAAATGAAGGAAATTTTATTGCAATTTTCATGTATTAATAAATATTATCGATATGACTACGCAGCAATAGCCCATTGTCCCTTCTGTCTATTCAGTAGCCGTAGCTCAAGAACCATGCAACGGACTATAGATATATTGATTCAAGTCGGACACGAGACAAAGCTGAATTGAAAAATGTGTTAAGTTTCTGCTTTATAGTACAATACTTAAATTCAACACACTCATGTTTGGAATGATGAATGATAGCAAGCCATATCATGATTTTTTGATGTAAAATAAACGTTTTTGGGCGTGGCACCCGAGAAAATTTTCTGCCTCCGGCGGGCTTTTACTCTTCTTTTCAATTTGAAAACGGTTGGCCCGAAATTCTAAAATCTGGCCCCTTTTAAAAATATAATCTGGCACGAAATTTTCAGAGCCTGTGGCAACACTGTTTGGCATCCCCGTATTTTTGGGACTCTGACGTCACAGTATTAGCCCGCGTTTTCACACAAAGCAGTTTAAAAATTTGATTCACAAATAATTCAATTCTTGGATTTTATGACTTACCATGGTACTTCCTCATGTATGAAATTCAAAAAATAGGTGGCAAAATCGATTTGCCCCACATTAAAGCTGGAAATATCATTGAAATCATCTTCATTCTGCAAAAAAAATCAATGTTTACACTTTTGTAGGTTAGGTTTTCTAAAATATATTTTAAATTTCTACCTCAGGAACCGCTTTCAAAAGCCACTTAATGAATAACTTTGTAGGTATTTCTTGGTTTATTATTTTATTCAATAAAGCATCGGCCATAGTTTTATTTGTATATTAATTAAATAAAAATAAAAACATTTAAAAATCATCACAACAAAAACGAATTGGGCGATTATTTAGATTGGCTGATTATTTGACATCACTGACAACTGTCACCAGTATTTTGTTGTTCTGAACTGACACACTCTGCTCTGATCTGATCTTGTTGCTCTGACCTGAGTGATATTCTATTTTGCTGCTTACCTGGACTTGCTGCAACCAGAACTGGAATCCTATTCTCGAAAAAAGACAGCAGCTTTATAACCATTCTCATGAGAATGCAGCTTTTCTGTTTTGAGAATTTGGTTCCAAGTCTGTTCGGAGCAGATCCACCGGTACTCTGTTTCCATTATGCTATTCTAACCTCAATTTTTGAAATTGGAGGGAAAACGAAAGAAACCCAAAAAAAAAGTTTGTTTTTAATAATTGTTAAATATTAAAAGAAAATTATCTAGTAATTATAATTACCTTAAAATGGCCAGTGCTGTGGAATCGATGGATATAGATGAACCTCATCCGGGCCCCTCCAAACTAATTGAAGCAAAGGAAGACTTGGACATAAAAAAAACTTCTAATCTTCCATGGTAAATTAAGAATTATCAAATTATTCAATACAATAATTGAGTACCTCAACACGTTCTTAATACATCGTTAAGCTTAATTTTTAATGAAAACATAATATATTCCCACTATTTTCAAAAATACTACCATAACAGTACTTAAGTAGCCCTAGTTTTAATAGTTGTATTGATAACTAATATATTTGTGAATTGTGACTGTATATAGCTCGGGTGTAGATCAGGGTTGGCATACACAATTACCCTTTTAAAAATCCCATTGGGTTTTTGACACAAAAACCCATCATGAATATTGACAAAACCCCTTTGGGCTTTATCTATATTAAACATAATAAAAATCCTGCGGAAAAATAGTCATGTGTTGAACAAACAATTCTTAGATACAAAAGTAAAATATAGAAGAAACTTTTCTCCTGATAACTACTATATCCTATTCACAATTTGTAGTCCAAAAGATCGGTCCAGGTAAATTTATCACCTTTTCCCTATCAAAAGGTATTGAAAGGTGATAAAATTTTACCTGTTCCTTTGGACTACAGATTGTGAATAGACAATAGTAAAGTAAAATCCCGAGGGTTGAAGAGCTCTTGCAGTTGGTGTACATATTTCTCACAATCTTCACACATTCATTCACAATGGGATCACAATTGTTCACCATCTGTCACAATCGCGACACAATCTCACACAATCTGTTACAATCTGTCACAATCATTACACAATCTCTCACAATCGTGTCACAGTCTCTCACAATCATGTCAAAATCTCCCACAATCGTTGCACAATATCTCACTATCTTTACACAATCTCTCACAATCGCTACACAATCTACCACCATCTGTCGCACATACGGTTCCTCCAAGGGCCGGTTTCTCAATAGAAACTCATTCTCATGTTAAGCATAACTCCAGGGTAAATATTGCAACTGGGCACACTTACCCTGGAGTTAAAACCAACCCGAAGGTGACTCACTATTGAGACACCGGCCCCAAATAGTTTGATTTACTTAATTTTTGCCTGTAATAATACCTTTTGATTAGCTAACTTTTGTATGCCACCTACTGCAGCATAGATTTCTGAACTCCGTTGTACTGAATAGGGAAATACTAAGGGGAAGGGGACTATCCATAAACCATAAAACAAGCAAAAATATCTGAGGAAAAATCAGAGTATATCGAGAAGGACCTAGGTTTCTTTACTTTTTTAAGTTGACAATAAATTAACAATTTTTATTTAAAGAATTAACAATAAAAAGCCAAAAAGTTTCACATAAAAACCAAAAAAAATTCATCCTTAATCCAAGTAATATGGAAAAATAAGAAACTAACTACTAAAAGTAAGGAAAACTTCTTTATGGTGGCTGTTTTCAGAAAAATATGGGAAATTACTAAGGGTGAGGGAGAAAGATGCCAAAAGAAGAGACAACAAAACAAATAAACAAAATGAAAGAAATTATGAAAAAATTGAGAAAAAAAAATAGAGAGAAAAATAGTAAAAAGCTCGGTAAAAACTAAAAAAAAAGACACTTAAAAAATACTAAAACTGCAAAAAAAGCTAATCTGCAAAAAGTACAAAATGTAGACTAATAGGGGATTGATGATGAAACATCAGAATCTCGATCACAATCAACAGAGTCATTAACTAGCTTTCATGATTTAGAAGGTGGAGAAGAATATTTCAATGAAGCAGAACAGCAGCTTGAAGAACTTGAAGTAGATTGGTAATATGCAGTTGCCTACTCTAACAAATACCACATTGGAAAATTGACAAAAGTAGAGAATGTCAGATAATTTTTTTAGAAGTCTTTAGATGGCCTAAAAATCTAGACCTGGACGTTGTAGAAATAATATATATGTATTACTTATATATGGTCCAATGTCCAATCCATTTTAAAAACTATCCATTTACACTATCAACGTTTGAGACACAAAAAATTAACAACATTTCCAAGGAAATAAAGTCCTAATTTGAAACCAAGTACTTATTGTTCGTTGATTTTCATCTGACACTTTCCATATATGAGGCGCAAGGGGGTGAAGTATATGGCAAAAACAGGTGTGACGTCAGGTGACCATGGGCGTTCTAATGTAGGGTGTCACCTGCTCACATTCCTTCCGAGTATCAGATTAAAATCGACGGACTTTATGTATCTATCTCACAACAATTTTTTTTAATTCGTCATCATTTTCCTGTATCATTAATTAAAACTTTTGTCTGTCACTACGTAAGATGATTTTTTCAAATTCAAACACCCGGTATATATTTAAAAAATTTCGATTCCATAGGTGGCGTAGAGAAAATGCATGTTTCAAGTGTGATTCACAACTTTCAAAAGCGGTTGGAGATGTGCGCCCACACAGGGTGACACTTGACTGACATTATTTTCCATCATGAATTTAAAAGCGCACTATTATTACTTCATTTAGCTGTAATGGAAACAATTGAAAATTTAAAATGTTATGCTTATACCTACGTGAAAAACATGCGTTTCCTCTGCGCCACCCTGTATAGGGTGTCCCATTTTGGTTGTACATAAGGGATAACTCGGTTGCTATTAGAGTTAGGAGGATGCGGTTTTTGTGAACGGTGGTTACTTTTCTACCAAACGAAAGATGCCGTCAACAGAATTGTCATTTTTTTTTTTTCAGATACGTGTTCTTGAAAATGTTGCATTTTGGGACAGTCCTTGGTATCTCAGTTCTAAGTGATCAGATAACAACTCGGGTGACAATAGATTCTTATAGATCTTTTTATGTAGATTCCAGTGGAGTAGTCAGTTTTTCTCTGGAAGTGATAGTTTATAAGACCTGTATCATTTTCCTTACAGATTTAAAGTTCTTTTCAAACACATTGTTGTTTATAACAAAAACAGACATAATAGGGATAGACCTATTGAATTTTATATTATTGAAATCAGCAAATGCAGAACTATCCGATAAGTTTTTAACATACAGTGCGTCTCATTTGAAAAAAGTACCTATGTTTGGTACATAATTGAAAAACTCTCACTTCTAGAGAAAAACTGACTTCGCCATTGGAATCTCTGTAGAAAGATCTATAGGAACTCGTTGCCACCTTTTGGAACACTTATGAGAGGATCAAGATAAAAGGGGTGTCCCAAAATGCAACTTTTTCAAAAACACCTTGTAACTGAAGAACAAAAAGGGCGATGACAATTTTGTTGACTGCAACTTTCGTTTGACAAAAAAGTAGCCAACGTTCGCGAAATCCTTCTAACTTTAATAATAGCAACAGAGATATTCTTTATGTACCTACACCTAAAATAGGACACCCTGTACAACTTCTCAATCCGAGTAATGTGTAAAAGAGAGATAAAAATACTGAATATTCTTAACACATTAGGTCTGTTTCCACAGAAATTTCAAACCAGTCGGAGCATTTTTGATTGGTCCAAATCGCCAAAAACCAGTTTCCTGACTATTTTCAACCAATGAAATTCGCTTTGACTGGTTTGTGATTTCTGTGGAAACAGACTTATTGATTATGGTAATATTTTTTAATTTGTTGAAATTAGAGAGAAAATGTAGTTTTGATATTTTGTTGTTTTATTCTAACCCAATTATTATACATAGTTTTTACACAATCAGTCACCATCATTCATAATCGTACACAATCACTCACAATCTTAGCAAATTTCCTTAAAGATTGTGGAATTTGGCAGTCGGCATACATATTTTGGGCCAGCTATTCACCCCTCGTAAAATCCTTACCAATAGGTTTGTAGAGAATTCAATTGGCTTTAATTAGAGCCTTATTACATTGAAATGGAATGAAAATTAAGAGACCTGCAAGGCAAAACCTGTCTCAGTATCATTTTTGGAAAATTTTCAATGTTCGAAAATTTCAATTTTGAACCTTCTGAGGTGTTAGAACTAAATTAAAATCTCAATTAATGGGTTTGTAGAGAATTTAATTGGCTTTTATTAGAGTCTAATTACATTGAAATCGGATGAAAATTAAGGGACCTACAAAACAAAAAATTTCTCAGTGTAATTTTTAGAAGATTTTCAATGTTTGTTTGATGAATTTAATTTTGGAGCTTCTCAGGTGCAAAACTGTTGAAACCTATTAAAAATTTCAATTGATAGGTTTGTAGAAAATTTAATTGAATATAATTAGAACCTAATAACATTGAAATCAGATGAAAATTAACGGAGCTGCAGGACAAAAACTATCTCAGTGTCATTTTTGAAAATTTTTCAATGTTTCATAATTTCAATTGTGAAGCTTCTCAGGTGCAAAACTGTTGAAACCAAATTAAAATCTCAATGAATGGGTATGTAGAGTATTTAATTGGCTGTAATTAGAGCTGCAAAATAAATATACAATTTTCTCTGGTTAAATAAATACAAAAACCCTGAAAAACACAAACACTATCACAATAACCCGCAAAAACGCAATGATCCAATGGAAATTTTCAAAAACCCGAGTTTTTGCCAACCCTGTTTTAGATACATGTATCTCTGATCATTCTGCTCAAAAAATTGTTTTCAAATTAGTCAAATTCTGCATAGGTAAATCAAATCAAAATATGCTTTATTGTATAAAAAGACACAGTCTCATTTACAAAGCTCAAATATAATATGCTTATATATAGGTAAGTTAAGTCTATGGTCTATGGATAGAAACTTGCAAATACTGAAATAAACAATAAAAAATATCTTGTAGGATTGAAAAATATAGACCGCAAACTTTTGAAGAAATAGTGGGCAATGAAGACACCATAACCAGACTAGGAATATTTTCAAAGCAAGGCAACGTTCCAAATGTCATTATTGCGGTAATTTAACATCAACATTATTTACATTTTGTATAAAACTTCTATTATATAGGGTCCTCCTGGTGTTGGTAAAACCACAACCATTTTGTGCCTGGCAAAAATCATGTTAGGGTCAGCCTTCAAAGAAGCAGTCTTGGAATTGAACGCTTCAAATGACAGAGGAATAGACGTAGTCCGTAACAAAGTGAAAATGTTTGCCCAACAGAAAGTTACATTACCACCCGGGAAGCATAAAATTATAATTTTAGATGAAGTAGACAGGTAATAGATTCGAAATCATTTAACATGAATTATAAAAATTTTGCTTTCAGTATGACTGAAGGAGCTCAGCAAGCTTTAAGAAGAACCATGGAAATCTACAGTAATACTACAAGATTTGCACTGGCATGCAATTATAGTGAAAAAGTTATTGAACCTATTCAATCACGTTGTGCCATTTTGAGATATTCACGCTTAACTGATGCACAAGTTTTAGCCAGAACTATACAGATTTGTCAGAAAGAAAATGTAATTTTATACTTGTTTATTGTATTTTCAATTTACAATGTGATTATTGTTTTAGGTCAAATACAGTGAAGATGGTTTAGAAGCCATAGTATTTACAGCTCAAGGTGATATGAGGCAAGCTTTAAACAATCTTCAATCTACTCATAACGGTTTTGGAGAAGTAAACTCGGAAAATGTTTTCAAAGTTTGTGATGAACCTCATCCCATGCTTATCCAGGATATGCTTAAATCTTGTTCAGAGGGAGATATAAGGAAGGCATATAAGGTAACAATTCAATCAAATAATAATTATTGTTTGTGTTAAAGTTAATTTTCAGATTGTAGAACATTTATGGAACTTGGGTTACGCTGCAGAAGACATTATTAAAAACATATTCAAAGTGTGCAAAACTATGGACATGGCAGAACCGGTTAAATTAGCTTTTATAAAAGAGATTGGGTTGACACATCAGAGGATAATCGAAGGATTGACCACTTTAATACAAATGTCTGGTCTTCTTTCAAGAATGTGCTTGGCGGCTGCAAAATTGAGAAGCAGCCAAGCTTAATCTTCATCATGTCTTTATATTATATTATTTTTGTATTTTGATTTTGACGTGTATTTATTAACTTATTGTAGAGGGTGCCATTCACGTAGAGATCGGTATCTATAAATGTTTCAAGTATCAGTATCTTGATACAAATCTCACTGTGTATTCGTCTGTCTCAGTTTCAATGTGTGAATGGGGCCCTTAAGACAACATTTGCTTAGTTTATTTGAAAAACAAACAATTATTTATATACAAAATATGTTTATTCTTAAAAAAAAAACTTTTCTAGTTAACATAAATCACATTAATATTCAACTATTAATAATTTATTCATTCAAATATCTTCAACAATTTCGAAACATCCAAGCTAGAAAATTCACTTTTGAAAATCATCAGTAATTCAAGAGCATCGTTTTTCCCATCCAAATTGGTCGCACTACTAGGAATATCAAAAAATGTAACATAACTAGCCAACATTGGTAAATTCGCATCAAACTCTTTTCCGACAATAAAATTTTTGAGGTTTAACTTGAGATGCTCTTCGTGAGATTCCAGTATGCTGGTTATTTCTTGTTGAAAAGCCAAAACTGTTTCTTTAGAGAGAAGATTTTGGGAGGCTGACGATTTCATCAGTACTTGTTCCATTATTATTTTTAGTTGCCATATAACGAGGGTGGATGGTTGAGACTGTAGAGCAAGGACCAACTATAAAACAAAACATTGGCTATCAATCAAATTAATTCTTGTAGATTTTTTCCATGTCATGCCTTACCTTGATCAATGACACCATAATAATAATCATCATCAACTTATCCTTAACAACAGCATCATAAATCGCCCTGGTCAGCATCTGTATAAACCTCTGCTCGTAATGATTCGCTTTGGTTCTATCAAGATTCAATACGGATTCGCAAAATCCTTTTATGGCGTCGTCAGAAGTGAAATTTGTTATGGAAAGATAGGGTGGATCCCACGGTACCACTCTAGAGTGCGTCAAAGTTCGAGCAAGTTCGCTGTGGTACCCAAACTTGTCTGTTATGTAGCTGAGGCAACCGGCGCGTTGTTTGACTTCTATGCAGCCTGTAGTTGAGAGGATTTTACTGAAAGAACCAATTACTAGTTTGCTTCATATATACAGTTATTTAAAGATTTATGTTTATTTCTGTTAAATATTCTTACGTCAATGAATCCCAATTTCTGCCTCTTTCAAACACAACTGGCCAATATCGTGCATCATCCACTGCTACTTTAGTCAGCAAATTAATATCTGGTATGAGTCCCGGTGCCTTGATTGAAGTTTCTGCTCCATCTGTAAATTTAAATTATTTGGTATTCATGCTTTGACAATGTTTTTCTTAAACTTACTTAATTTAACAACTCTTAGTTTGGCATAACAAATATCATCATAAATCACTTCTTTTGGTATTATTAATCTGGGTTCAACGGCTAGGACATATAAATGTCTAAATGCTTGTAGGTGATACCTGGAATTGATTATTTTTTTATAGTAAAGGAAATTAACACAACAAAAACTCACCTATTATCATTACTATGGGTAGGAAATTTAGGATAAAAGGCACAAATCAAAGCAGCCACACTAGCAGGCGAGTTGCTAAGTGTATACCTGCCTCCGCCTAGAAATAGCAGCCCTAGCGCCATGTGAATTGCTAAATGTGATCCGTATGTCACTATGGCACTATTTGGGATACCTACTCTACAACGTAAATGACGAATCAGCCTCATTATTTCAAGATTACCAGTACCTGCCATAACCTGAAAGAACGCATATTAAATCAAGAATCAAACTATAAAAATTGTCTACCATTGAAGCACTTATTAATAAAACATTGAGACAAGTTTCTATTGTCGCTTTGCCGGCTAATTCGGCAATCGACTTGCCAGTTAGTGAGGTGAACATATTACAGAAAATCAGTAAAGTTTCAAAGGCTTCTGGATCAGCAGAGCCTGCAAATTTCAGGCCTAAAGCGAAGCAAGCTCCTGTGATGATATTACAGTAGGCTTGACTAGAAAAAAAATCATAAAGTTTTCAATAATTTATTATTTTTAAAAAGGGGTGCTTACTTCATAGCCTCATAATCTATATCAGCTTCATTAGTAGGCGTAACTAAACAATGAGGAAGAATAGTTGCAGGTACTTGACGGACTACCCATTCTTTAGTTGGTTCAATGCTGTCCCATAGAATTAGAGCTAAAAATATTTACAAATATAGAAATCCTATCATTTAAATAAAAAACTACTGCATTATACTAAATTATCATTTCAAATCATTTTATATATGTAGAGTTTCATAACAAATGTTCTCACATCTGCACAATATCCTCAACATCAAAAAATCTGGCCTAACAAAGTCCAACAAATATTGAGTTTCCGGTGGCGCCATCCAATCAGACACGGCCTTATTTCCAGTTCCTAAATACATCAAACCCAGAGCCAGCGTAGCTCCAGGGGCGGTAACGTCCAAATTAACCGAAGACCCTTCCCGAATTTGGAAAGAGGGTGTTTTGTACTTGTCCCTTTGAGATCCAGTTAGAGGTCGCTTGTTGCCTCCAACCATGTAGTAAAGCAAAGTGTCCGGTACGTTGAGATCAGACATTCCAGTCGATTGGTTTCCGTATTTAAGCATTACCAAACCCAAACCTAAACCAGCTGCAAGTGAATAAGATTCGCGATCTACGCTGTTTTCCATTTCTGGTCCAGGTGGACGACCGATTTCGGACAGTAAAACCTTCAAAAATTTAGGGAAATTATTACTAGTTTTTTATTGAAATAGTTCTTACCTCTGCCATGTGTCTATGCGCACTACGCTGATACAATAAACCAACCCCCAGTAATCCTGTAACTTGTAAATTTTGAAAAACGTCCAATTCCATAGAAGTAGGTGGCAACAATGCCTCAACGTGTATTGCCAGAATTTTGGTGAGATGTTGGTGACAGGTTCCTCTGAAAGCTGCCGAAAGACCTAAAAACATTTTCATAGGTATTTTACCTTAAAAAAAAAATCTTTAATACCTAATAACATTCCAACGCTTGTCATTTCATGTGCTCTTCCTATATACTCAAAAGTATTTATAACAGCCAAATTTTTCAGGTGACCATTCAAACCTAGAGCCATCAAGAAACCGGCATGCTCCATTTGAGGTTCAGCTCCACCTACAAAAACACCAATTCACCTTAATATTATCTACATTTAAACAACATACATACTTTTTGGTTTATTAAAAATAATCCAAGTGTTATCAATGTTCTGTGCATCTGGAGTCACTCTAAGTCCATTGGCGACTCCGTTATGGAACAAGGGCCACAAATCCATATTGGAGGGGGTGTCTATGTGATTCAGTTCCACTGTATTGCCTCTAGGTAGCGCTTTACCGGTTAGGCATAGAACTGGTGCAGCTAGAGGCTCTGTTATTATTGGAGTTGCTGTACGTAATGTCATCATACCTCTATAAAATATTGTTAGTGTGCAAAATAAAGATATAGAAGAAAACTGTTTTTACCTTCCTACGGGCAACGACATGGTCCGGATACAAATTCCATACAAATGCTTTTCTTGCTCTTCGATAAAATCATGATCTGAAACGTCGGGTCTTTGAGTCAGGGCTATTGTGACTGGTTTTGAACTTGTTAGCATTTTTCTGGCTTCCATAACTCTATAAAAAAAAGGAAAATTAACTAAACTTACTAGGGATCTGGTATCTAAATTATTTTGAAATATACAACCATTGCAAGTATGTTTTACATAAATTTCACAAATTGAAACCAAAAGTACGCCTAGAAAAGCTTGTGTATGATTATAAGCTCCAGTTTTAGGTTGTTTTCTTGTTAAATATACATGTGACCTTTTCGCAAAAACTTCTTCTTATAACTACTTACCACAAAAATTATATGTTCGAATTATAAAGTTATCTCAATTTTGCATCACATATTTACCTTGTATCATCGCTGAATATCATTTTAGTCAAACTAGAATCGATATCCTCCATACCATCCAAATCAGCAATTTCTTGTTTGGTATTAGGCATGGTCTCCTGAAGTTGAAAGCAAATATTCATTTTTTCCTGGAAAAGCTTGTCTTTCTCCTAGAAAACATTATATTGCCGAGCAACGATTATTATAGAAAAATATTTACCATTTCAATTTTATGAGCCTGAGCAACCAAATCGTTCCTATACAACAAATGGTAAGCTTCCGAGGGCCAATCTGATGGAGGATTTTCCCTGCACTTCCACAGAGCGTTGTATATCAAAAAATATAAGCCAGTAGGTAAAGTTTCAATGTACCTAAAATATTAAACTCTTATTAACAAATTTTTAAAAAAAAAAGCAATACATTACCCTGTGTCTATTTTCATATCCACCATCACCAAAATAACTTGTTCCATGGTTGTGCCATTCATAATAATGCTTTTATGTTGTAAAACCTGTTCTGGTGTCTCAGATACGTCTTTAGTGAAACTTTCTAAAAATACTTCTTCCGGGCAGGTACGATTTGCTTGAGAAAGCACTCCAACCAACTAAAATTAAATACTTTCAATGACAATAAGAGAAATGCTTAAAATACTTGCCTGTACAATATCCCTAGATCTAACATTGACATTAGCAAAATAAGGATAAGGCAATATGGTTTCGCCTTTTAACAACCTATAAATATGTTCCATAATGCTGACAGGCTTCTCACTTAAACCTGGCCAAATGTTAACAGTTTTGAACAAACTTTCTTTAATTTTTGGACCACCAATAGACATTTCTTTTGGGAAATCCTTCCAATAATGAATTGCGTACTCCTTAAGTGCTAAGTCATTGGAAAGTTTACTTAGCAATTTGGCCAATAAAAGCAAACTATCTGTGTACAATGTATTCAACTTAAAATCTTCATAAAGCAAGTGTAATGTAAAATGAATATAGCGAATGTAAGGAAATAAAACTCCTTTTGGATTTACAGTAACTTTAGGGTCATTTTTCAGTGGCTTTTTTAAATATGAACCTATAGACAAAGGCAAGTGAACGAGTTCTGTTAAACCGTCAACAACATCCTTAGATACATTATTCAACATGTTAAACCAATCCTCGTCCGTGCTAGAAGGTGTAGGTTTTGGCCTTTTGACATCTGGAACTTCAGATTTATCAAAAACCTCTTCGTCTTCATATCCAAAAAGTTCTACAAACAAGAAAATATGCTTTTTTTTTCTTCATAAGACCTGAAAATTACCAAATAACAGCCCCATAAACATCTCCCATTCATGTTTAGCATCACTATCTTCAGTACCAATGGCATTTCTTGTCGAGTACCATCTACAAACGAGAACCAAAGCAGCATCTCTGGGTAGACACTGTCTTAGAGCTACTAAAGAATGCTCCACTAACGAGGATGAAGAAATAATTGGTAGCGTTATTCTATAAAAAGATCCGTCAGAGTATTTTAAAGTCAAACGGTTTTTCAGTGAGTCCATTAGGCCAACTGGTACAGATTTCTTTTCAGCTCCTAAAATTGAAAATAATGAATATATCGATAAGTGCAGGTTCAAACAAACTTACTGCCCAAAAATCCGTATTGCAACGGAGTGGGATTCAATCTGGGAGGCATTATGTGCACTTTTTGATGGGGATAAGACGGTAACACTGGAGAGTAAAGGTGTTCATCGAATTTTGGTTCTTGTTGCGATAATGGCAAAAGACTACTGCGTCTACAAATAAATGTTTTTAGTTGTCATTGACTTCCTAACATGGATTCTTAGTCAGTAGTTATGTTATTGTCAAGACTAAATTGATTCCTGAACAAGTGTTGAAACTTTACCTTGGAAATGGTGAGGACATGTGACGCCTATCTAAAGGAGACGGTGTGTGTTGCAATAAAGTACCTCCAATATGCAATTTTCCTACCATTGTCAAACCAGAATACAATGTAACATTACCGCTATGTTCCAGAATTGCTAACATATGCAAATGCTTAAAAAAAATATATTGTTTGAAGATTCTTTGTAATTATTATTTTTCTTACAGGAACGTTAATGGCATCTTTGGCGCTAATACTCGTCAACAATCCAAAAGCAATATTAGGACCAGAAAAATCAATTTTCACAATTGACAATTGAAACCTTGACGGTAGGACATAGCAAAGATACCATTGCCCTATAATGTCTTCAGTTAGAAAAACTGTTGACGCTGGTAAACCTGTAATAGTGTCCCTAAAAAAAAACATTAATTTCCCACAAAATTTAAAAGCAATTTTACTTACTGTACTGAGTAAGTGTCTGTCCAAAGATATTCCAAGCAAATATAAGGATTCGATCTTAAATGGGACATAGATTTCGAACAATTAAAAAACGATTTGGCGGACATATTATCATTGTTCTGCAAAAAGTTTCTAGACATATTGTCTTTTTTGGACATAGGCGTGATCCATGGACTATTATCAACATCAGTTGTAGCTGGAGATTGACAACGACTAAAAAATTAGAGGGTAAAACATGATTTTTGCAAAGAATTTTAGGTTTCACCTCATAGCAGCCATTGAGCTAAGCGATCTAGATTTGTGATGCAAGTGGGACATTTTTTCGCTGGCAGTTTTATTTGTCCCAATTGGGCTCGGTGTAACAATGTGCCCGCTTGTCATTAGGTTTTCCCACATTGAGAGACGATTTTTTAACTACAAAAAATATGGATAATTTGATTCATCAATAGGAAGTGTAGGTATATTTTTTCATTCATACATTACTAACACATTTTCAGTTTTGAAACATGGATATCTATAGATTTTCAGTTTCACTAACAAAGTTATTTATAATTTTGAGGAAAGACTTTATATACCTAAATCATTATAAGAACAAAATTATTATTAAAATAATAAACTACAACAATATTCATTAATGACTTACAGCTGGTACTTGAGAATGAGTTGAGCATAACTGAATATCTATATCTGTTATTTTAAGTTTATAAAGATAAATTAGAATATTAATGTGAAGAATAGACATATAAACGACAGTGAATAGAGTTCAGTTATAATTTTGATTTCTTACTTTATTCGAATTGAATGCTGCACTATGACTCCCATGATTATCGTCCCCATAATCCTTTTCATCACACCTGACCTTACGTATTTTATAAACACTATGTTCTTTAGTTAGCGTATCGAACACCATACAAATGCTAGGATTATTATTAGTGTATAAGACTTTATAATTTGTTCTGGACAGTCGAGTTATTGTTGAATTGTGACTTATTGCCACTGGACATATATCATCTAAAGGGTAATTCAGAGAGAATAAAGTACCACCTTCTTCAGAGTATTTTTCCTGAATAAGGCCTAAAAAATGTATTTTCAAAATCGATTAGCAAAACTAGGTATTAATACCTTCTACACTCTTTTCAATTAATATTCCAAACTTTGTGTTCCACACTTTCTCAATTTGAAAAGGTATTGAAATAACGAAATTTTCTCCTTTATTAATAAAAACTCTAATATTGTGAGAATCAATTAAACATATGGCTGATGTTGGAGTACCTAAATATATACAAGTTATTTCAAAGTACATAAACTATGTATTTTATGAAATTTACCAGAAGCCTCATCCACTTTATTATATACGTCCACCAAACTAGGTTCAAACATGGGTCTTTCAGAATAAAATGTAGACCATATTGCTTGCTTTATAGGTAATGGAACAGTATAACAACTAATGACCTAAAAAAAATATATAAATTTATTATTTTAATGCATATTATTTTGTCAACCTTTCTTCCATTATCCTGATCATTAATACTGTTTAAAAGACCTCGAGACCAAACAGCAGTATGTCCTTTAACATACAATTCATCCTCCATAAAACCAGGATCAATTTTGCAATTTAAATATGATTGATCTGAATTGGGAGAGAACGCTGCAAAATTGATAACATTAATTTTGTCCAGGATACATATGATATACTATTTATTTTGTTTAATAATTATTCTGATTATTCCACAAAATACCTCCAATAAGGATTAATATTTCTCCTTACGTTTTGTTTTATTAAACTCCCCACTAGACCTTCTAGTCTCATTTTTCTTCTCGTTTGTACCCCAAGAAAATCTTTTACTAGGAAATCTAACACTAGCATCGGATAATCTTTTTCCAAATGGCTTTTTTTGCATGCTGCCCTCAGAAGTTTTAAAACTGATAGAATCTTCAAAATATTCGCTATATTCTGTAACATGATCTTTACTACCAGATGAAGGGGCATAGCTTCTGTTTTGGGTAGATTTTGGTGAAGCATCTTTTTCATTATCCAAGCTGTAATATCACATAGTTTATTGCAAAGTAATTTTTTTCAATGAAAATTGAGCAACCTTGACGAAAATTCATCTTTTGGGGCAATTCTTAAAGTCCAAAATTCACTGGTTATGTCTTCGGATAAGGAAACCTTTTCTAGACCACTTTGAAGATAATCATCAAAGTCTTTATTTTTGAAAATTGGTTCTAGCGGTCCTGGGTGTCTGGCAACTTGCTGCCGACCACGGGGTATGAATTCCTGCAGGAAAATATTCATTGATCCAGTAAATATAGACAAAACTTAATTGAAGTTGAATTTACCTGTGGATCTGAGGCAGCAATCATGATTTCCAATTTATCATCCAGATTTGCTAAAGAAATAATTTCCCTTGGGGAAAAATAAATTAATGTTTAACAAAAAAAAAATACCCACTGTGTATTTGGTGTGATTACTGGATGATAGGTATTTGGCTTCAAATTGTAAAAATGTTCATTTCTTGTCCATTATTATTCTATAGTGATTTTCGACTGCAAAATTTCAAAACTAGCACAATTCGCTTCCGATTTCTACTATAAACGAAAACCGAAAACAGGAAAAAATCAAAACAAAACATTCATCAAATTTTGAGGTTATGTTTAGCTTTTGTCAGTGAAGTGTGTGTCTATAGGGGTTTTCATTTGTACTACTCCAACAAGATTTACTTCCAGAAGATGTGAAGAATCAAGAATAGCTGCTCACGAACAAGTATTTTTCTTACCAAATTTAACGTAAGCCACCACTTTGAGAGTGCAGTGCAAGAATTCGTGCTCGCTTTGATACAGATCCCAAGCGAGAAAAAATTCTCGTGTTCTGTTCTACTATTGGAGCGGAGCAGGCCGATTAATTAAGGCCCGTATTCATAAGGTCTGTTTCTGCAGAAATCACAAACCAGTCAGAGTGAATTTCATTGGATGAAACTAGTTTTCTGACTGTTTTCAACCAATGAAATTCGCTCTGACTGGTTTATGATTTCTGCAGAAACAGACCTATAGTCGATGCTCAAGGTTGCGTCTTGGCTCAAGTAATACGACTTGACGCCATATTTACGTTTCCACCCAGCACGGAACGATGCTCACAACTGTCAAAATTCGGAGCTTGAGCCAAGCACCCGTCTATGAATACCGGGCTTAGGACTACTGATCTTCGACGGTGCAGGTGCACAAAACCGTCTGCTCCATCTAGTGTAATTGAACTTCTACAATGGCAAAAACGGAACTGCCCATAGCGAGTGCAGAGTAGACGAATATGCCATAGTAGCCATAATTTATCAATCAAGCAGTTAAGACGCTGTCCTACGGACATAAGTAGGACCGCGCCATACTGCTATAAAATTAACCTTGCGTTTGGTATTTTGCTCAAAGAGTAGAGCGTCCTAAGCGGAGCCGTAATCACGTGACCACAGCTGCTTTCCAGTGCCTAAATTGTTAAATAGAGTATACCGCGTGTGGCTAAATTCACCAAAATGGTGCAATGCCACCGGTGCTGTGATTTATCGATTCACTAATGCATGCTAATATCAAACCCTGTTTAATTTAACAACACTGTTTTTTCTACCATTCCACCACGGTACCTACACCAGCTGAATTTAGCCACACGCGGATCATGCTCCGGGAGTGTGACGCTCTTGAACTGTTCGACATAAGCAGCATTGGAACGCTCTCGTCTTGACCCCCACCATTTCGGACTTCAAGAGCATGGAACGCCGAAATAATGGTTGGTGCACGAGGGTGCAGGGGATAACAGAGAGTAGTTCAAGTGTACGACACTCTAAGCTCTGGAACGCGCAAAGTTATTGTGGAGCACTCCTGACTTGCTCAGGGGTAACTCAAATGAATTGGGTCACTGAAAAGCACTTCAGAGGTGCTTTCTTTTCTGAGCTTCAAAATTCCAGGGTTCGACGCCCTAGGGCGCATCATCGCACGCTCTGAAAAGAGCGGTAATTAAGGATCAAAATCCATCAAAATCTGTGTTCAAAAATCTAACCTCAAAATACAAAATGTGTCCTGATGGTCTCCCTGTGTAAAATTAAAATTATCAAAATAAATAATAAAAATAAATCAAATGGAAAATAATTCTTCAGAAAATGCTCTAATTTCCATAACGATGATAACGGAAATAAGTACCTAACTACCGAAGAAATAAGCTTTGTTTTGGTTCGAAATTTGGAACGGTTCTGAGATTGCGCAGAACTGCTTGCGCACAAAACATAATTGAGGACTGTTCTAAAACTAAGGGCGGGTATTATAAAACTACTTTGAGAGTTAACTTAAAGTTAACTTCTGAAATTACATGTAATTCAAAAAGTTAACTTCAAGTTAACTGTCAAAGCAGTTTTATAATACCCGCCCTAATTCTGCTACAAGCTGCAAATCACAAAATTCCAAAACAGTTCTTCCTTCAGAGCAAAAACTGAGAGAACCGTTCTAGAACAATCCCAGAATTGTTCTTATTTAGTTCTAAATAAACCAAAACGCTGTCAACACAGTACGATTCTGAAAAAAACGAAAACGCGTTTTATAGGTGCGTACGAAAAGTCCAACTATTGACACTTTTCACCCTGACCCGTCATTAATGTCGTACTTTTTAGACCATTCGTACCGTTTAGCGTTCCATTTTCCCGGTGTAGTTTAAATGTTTGCGTTCCAAAACATAACTGCACCGCACTAACGCTAACCGCTTCAGAAAAATCGTACGCACCACATAACGTGCGCATGTGTGGATTGATTCCGAACTAGTTCTGAGTGAAACCAAAACAGAGCTATCCGTGCGTTCGGTATTTTGATCTGGGTTCTCCGAGCATGAATTTACCGTTCGTTTATTTAAAAAGTGTACTGGGCGCAGGCTCATTCACGTTCGTTTATTAAAATTTCGAGCCCTCTGATACAGCGTTTAACTGCTCTGTGCGCTCGCTGGTCATGTGATTACGGCTCCGCTCTGCTCTTTGAGCAAAATACCGAACGCAAGAACCCTTTTCACGTGGCTCCGGTTTAACAAACCGCAACATACCGCTCAAATTCGAGTGGTATCGATCACGTCACTTTGTAACCGGGTTAGAAAACGGTATGTCATTTCTCTAACGAGCACGGCGATATGGTTACGCTTAACGGTTAGAACAAACACAATAGAAAATTTATAAACAGCAAAGAGCGGGAAAATTGTGACAGGTGTAAACTGAAATATTGAGTCATATTAAGTTGTGTTTTGTTAATATTTGAAAGTTTCTACCTACCTATAATCAATTGACGAACACGGAAGCAATTAAAGTTGAAATAAATAATAGGGACTTTTTTTTTCAAGATACACGGGAAATTTTGGTGCAGTTACTAGAAGGTAAATCAACCTATATTCGACAGGTAGTTGGATTGCTTAAATTTTAAAATAACATTTTTCTAACCGTGCGTTTTCGAGTGGCATTTTCAATAACGTCATCACTTGACATACCGCTACTAACCGTTTTGTAACCCGGTTAGTTTAAACCGGAGCCACGTGAAAAGGACTAAGGTATATGGGAGGCGTATTCTTTCGGACCGGATCAGGTGATCAAAACGCGTTATGTTCCAGTAATCACGTTCTTTTGCATTTTGATATTTGACAGTTAGCGAATCATGATCCGAGAAATTCAAAACATATTGAATATTTTTTTTTGTGATTAGTTTGTTCCGATCTCGAAAATCTGGACAGCGTTCTTTCGGATCTTAAAATTGAAACATGTTCCAATTGAACAAACGGATCAGGATCTCTGAATCATGATTCAAATATATTGCGAAAGAATGCGGCTCAGATAAATTATCTAACACTAGTGACAGTTCGGACACTGAGCTTCGACGCCTCACTGAGGCGGCATAGACGACTCCGGGGCTTTCCTTTTCAATAATTCAGTAATTCTACTCTGACTGTTCAAAGTGCACTGACTCTTTTCGATCTGTTCAACTGTCCGTTACTTTGAATGTTTTAATTCTGTCCCATTGGCACTAACTCGATTTTAAATTACTTACTCTAAACACTCCATCTGCATTATTCTATTTGAATTCCTTCTGCATCTGCACTAACTCTGTTCTGTTTGCACTGTTTTGATTGTTACTGTTCGAACTACTCTAATATGCTACCAAATCAATGAATTTATTTTTGTAGACGAATGCTCCATAATTTCTAATAATTTCCATGCTTAGGCGGTGTTAGGAAGCAAAAAATTCTATCCAACAAACCCGAGTATCGAAAAAATCGCATATCGATATCAAGCTATGCTCGCTCAATGTTCAATGGACATCCCTAATGAAAAGTGAGGTTAAGATTGAGTTCAGTTTTGAGGACTCTTGAAGAGATTCCAAGAAATTCTTGTTTTTAAATAGTAACAGCAACTAAAACCAGTGGACACACATTCCTAAATCAAATTCCTACCTATTCAAATTACCACATTTGTCCAAACCTGAAATCTATTGCTTATAGAATCCTTTTGGGATGTCGAGTGAAGTAACAGATACCCCAAAAAGACAGTTTACCCCAGAAGAATGGATTTATTTGACCAACTATTTTGTGGGAAACAATTATAGGTACAGGGAAAACATAATAATTCCGAGAAATTTAGGACCTGTTCATATAAAGACCAATGAAGAAAAAATGGTCGAAGCCTTCTTCGAGGGCTGCCCATTTAAAGTTATCATGAGCTGTGTAGCAGGTAAATTTTATTATCTATTCAACAGTCTTCATTATTTAATCTTGCTTTCTAAACTGACTTTCTTTTAGAGTAATACTACATTAATCATGTTACAGGATATGGATTGGGTGCAGTAATAGGACTTTTCTCTTCAAGTATCGGTCCTCAATCGATCACCAGCGTAGAAACTCAAACTACTAGACAAGTTTTTAACGAAATGAAAACCACCACTTTGAGTTATGCTAAAAACTTTGCAATGATTGGAGCTCTATTTTCAGGAGTCGAATGTACAATAGAAACGGTTAGTTGATTAACTACTACTGGACAATGTTAATGATCAACCTTATTTAAAAATTTTGGTATCCAAAGATAACCTCTCATTGAAGTATTATAGAACAATGTTAATTTAGTTCAGTTTTGTCTTTGTCCTAAATCAATTTACCATATTTTTAGATGAGAGGTAAATCAGATTGGAAAAATGGAACTTATGCTGGAGCTGTAACAGGTGGTATGATAGGACTTAGAGGTGAGCATTTGAATGTCTATTATTTCATTACATAGGTATTACCAATTAATATTTTGTTTTATTTCAGCTGGCGTAAAGGCAGGCATTGTAGGAGCAATGGGATTTGCAGCATTCTCGACAGTAATAGATTATTATATGCACTCACGTTTTTAACAAGATTTTGGTCTTTTAGTTTCTTAATTTATATTGTATATTATATTATGTGTTTTTTGTTAATAAAAAAATATTCCTTAAATAATGCCGATTTATTTGTTGTAGGTAGAGGAGAAAAAAAAAAAAATCAACCCCCAAATTATTGATTCCAGCAATTAGAATATTGTTCTTATATTATTGAGAAAAGGGGTAAAATCAATGCACTGTGCAAATAAGCAAAAATTCCGCGAGTCTAAACCACAAGTTTTCTTTATAAAGAAACAAGGAACTTTATTTAAAAAAATAACAAATTTATTACAACTTCAATATAGTAATTTCAAATAGGCGCCTTATCTTTTGCAGCATTTACTGTCTATACATAGAATTGTATAGGCTAATTAAAAATATTCTTAATTAACCCACTAAGTCGTAGTTTCAATAATTAAAAACGTCAAACCGAATATGCTTCATTTAAAAAGTTTGTGCTAATTTATGATTATTGCAATGATGCAGTGCAGGCAGAAGCCTTAATAGTTTTTACATGCAAGTTAAATTGGCAATAAATATTTGAAATTGAGTTAAGTACTAAAATTACACGTGCATGAGAGCTAAAAATTGGGCTCTGTTTAGATATACAGGCACTAAATAGAAATCTAAATCTATAATACATTTTTATTTCTGATTTTGGAAGATTCTAGAGCTGAAACAAGCTTGAAAATTCTAGTCCCAACTGTTCTAAATCTAAAACTCAAAATAAAGGAGTGCCAAAAGTTCTTATTTTCGCACTCCAATCTAGAAATAAAATTGATTTTTGAGAATTCAGGAGGTATAAAACCTAAGTTAGTGATGTTAAATAAGCTAATGTTGATCCCTCAGAGAGCTGCAATTGAGCTAGAAGTGTAAAAATGCTATTTCCGCCTCTTTAAGAGCTCAAAATTGAACTGATGAAGCTTGGAAATGCTATTCCGGGCTCTTCTAACGCTAAAATTTGAACTGCAGATGCATGAAAAATCGATTCCCAACTGTAAAATTTGAAATGAAGTAGGTAGGTACTTACTATAATAGTTCGCTCTTGTTTGACCTGGAAATGACCTGGAAAAAATTGAAAATACTATTCCCAGTTCTTCTAGAGCTCGAATTCAAGCTGAAGAAGCATGAGAATCTTATTCCTGGCTCTTTTAAAGACAAAATTGAAAAGGAAAAGTATAAAACCCTCATTTTGTGTTCGTTAAGTTTAGCTAGAGCAGTTTAAAAAGCTCAGTTTGACTTTAGTAGCACAGAATTCAAGAAGCCTAAAAATCTTATTTATATATTGCTCTTCTGAGGACAAAAATTATTAAGGAAATCACCAAAACTCTGCTCTTTGACTTCTTGATTCTAAAGATGCATTTTAACTAGAGTGGCTCATGTTTGACCCTTGCAGAGCTGAAATTCAACTAAAAAAAAAGTTGGAAATCCTATTCCCGACTCTTTAGAGCTTGAACTAATAAAGAAAGTTCTATTCTCGGCTCTTCTAAAGATGGAAATAAATTTAAAAAGTATGAGATTCAGATCTTTGCCAATATTTGAGCTGAAGTTGAGCCAGAAGAACGTTTTGAAAAGCTCATGTTTGATCTTTGAAAAGCTAAAATTCAACTAGAAAGAGCTGGAACTTCTGACTCTTAAATTTGAAACAATAAAGCATCAAAGTTCTAATTTTCGCACTACTCATAAGTACCCTGTACCGTTTTTGATAAAAAAAAAAAAGGACCCAACGTTAATACATGAAGTATTGATCACTTTGTCCATAGATGAGTGTGGTAGTTGATCGTAAATAATCAGAAAAAAAATAAAAACTCAATTTGAAGCAAATTCTTTCATATGTTCAGCTCATAACGGCCCATGAGTAGGTATCCAAAACTCTACCGATTTTGAAAAAAAAAGGACCCAACGTTAATACATGAAGTATTATGATCACTTGTCAAGAGATGAGAAGAGTGTAGTAGTCGTCGCAAATAACCAGAAAAAAAAATTACTCAATTTGAAGCAAATTCTTTCATATGTTCAGCTCATAAGGACCACAACTACTAGTGTAGTGACGCGGAAATAAACCACCAAGAAAACAATTAAAGGTTCTGACTATTCTAACCAACTATGAAACAACTAAAGACCTGGAATCCAACTACCAAAAATTAATTAAGAATAACAAGGACTTACCAAACAACTATCCCAGGAAAGATCGTCACTTAGACAGCACAACCAGAAACTTCAATTGAAAATCATCTGAACATCGATATCCAGAAATTTTTGAAAGCCGACACCCCATATTGACTAATACATTGGAATGTGAATAAAGCAAAAGTTCATGGACTTTTTTTTTAAGTGCTTTCAACAATTAACATTCCAAAGAAGCCGAAAAAATTCTAAAAGGATCAATAAATCATGCACGAGCCTATATGATGATACCCACTAAACTAACCACTCAGCGACGCCCTTGATAATTAATTAAGAGGGGACCAAATACACTAATTGATCGGACAATGGAGGAACCAACGATATAAAAAGGCAACTTTGGCAGGAGAAAAGCGTGTTCGAGAAAGAGCGAGTAAACCGGCAGAACTATACGGCGTGAAGGACCAGTGTCGGTTGAGTAATCCAAGAAACAAGTAGTAGGTAGTCGAGAGATCTGTGTCCAGAAAGTCAGAACTACGGCGTGAAAGAGTTGTCAAATTAACCGAGAGAAGAAGTACGACGTGAAATAACAGCGTGAAAATATTCCAGTTTTTTATAAAGTGTTCATAATTAAAGTAACTTACTTCGACCAATAAGATTTCCATGTAATTAGGTGTGGCCAACAGTAAATATATTTATCTACAAGCGTTTGGTTATGACGTTTTTACATAACCATTTTTCTAGTAATTGGAGTTATGTTATGAGACTCATAACACAACTAGTGGTGTTATAGACTTGGTTATGAATTCATAACACAACTAGTGGTGTTATGGACGAGGTTATGAATCTATAACACAACTATTTTTGGTGATTTGACAAATGTCGAAGGTAAACCTGTAAAGGTAAAATGAAGGTAGAAGGTAGACAACTACTAATAAACGAAATTAATTGAAAAAACATTCTTATTTCTCGCTTTGTAGATAAAACGTTGTACATTACACGTGCGTTTAAACATGACTACAAAACTCGTGTGATTAGAACGAATCGGTCTACGACCTCGTCGTTTTAATCTTTCACACTTGTTATTGTAATCATGTTCATAAACGCACTTGTAATGTAAATAACTATATTGTTAAATGTAAGTAGAGTTTTTTTTATGTTCAGCCAGAAATTGTGAAGGCAAGAGTGTGAATCGAGTCAAACTGTAAATAAAAGTTTTTACTTGGAATCATATAAATTTTCCTTAACAGTTAATGCTTATTAGAAATCTAACAATTTTATTCTAAGATTATTTATTACCGATGTCTGTTATTTAATAACGAGCATTAAGTATTTATTTTAATAAAATAAACTTTATTTTAATTAACCACAATATTTCTGTGTTTTACTCTCCATCCGCAAACAGGACCCATTTTAAACTGTGTCTCAACTCACCGCTCGCCAGTTTAACATCTTGCCAAGTTTCTGAATTTCGGGTCTCATCACACTAGTCCTAAAGATAAAATTCAGCCTGAAAATCCTATTCCCGGCTCTTTCAAAGACAAAATTGAAATCCTGATTTTTGATCGTTCTAGACTATTCTAGAGACTAGAATTAAAGTTGTACGTACTGTAAAGTATAACCTGTAAACTAAATCCAAAGTTATTCTGGAAATATGTGAATGTGAATCATCAAAAAAATCTGACAGTTTACCTTCTAGGATGATGATGTACAATGAAGAAAATCTCGAAAATTAATGAAGATATTGCAAACGCATTTGGTTAATATTTTGCAACACTTAGGCCGGATTTTCATGCATCCGTTTTCCGACGAAATATGTCCGAAAAATCTTCTATTTTGACATATTTTCATACGATTATGTCAGAATAGAATGTTTTTCGGACATCTTTCGTCGGAAAAACGGATGCATGAAACTCCAGCTTGACTTAGCAAGTAGCATATAGACCAGTCGGTATTAACCAGTGACGTATTAACTGATCAAAGCATTAATACCCATAATATAAAAGTGTAGGTAACAATATATGAAGCAATCTTGAGTTTTTCCGACAAATTAACAGTTGATCGTAATGGAATTCTTAATTTTTTTTATTAAAAAGTGTGTATGTACAATCACTATTCCTCTTTTTTTGTTGTTTAACCAGTCACTAAAATGTGAAACTTGAAACTTATCCAGATTACTGGAAACAAAGCTATTAAGTACCCATTTTTAAAAACGGTGATATGCATCATCTGGAGTTCCACGAGGTGGCCATACAGCTCACCTCTCTGCTTTTTAACCTGTTTGTTAATAATAGTAACAATTTATAATGAAGTAAGAACTTTAATGGATATGGAATTATAAGAACATAGACGTCTGAAAACTGATTTGTGCATATTGTATGATATTATTAATTCCGAAATTTCATGTCCAGAATTATTACAACTAATCCAATTTCATATACCATCAAGGCGGTTACGTTACAATTATCTGTTTGGCAAAAATTATCATAGAACAAACTTACTTTAACTCACCAATTGATAGGTGTATATCTGTGATAAATCATAATACCATAGAAATATTAGGCATAAGTAAAAAGAATGTTCATAAGTCAAATTGAAAAAATAGGTAGAGAATAGGATGGGATGGGATGTATTGTATTATGTATTTGGTTATTAGTTAGTAATACTATACTAGTAAGTAATATTGATTTGTTGTCAGCTGTATTGTAACTATATTGTAAGCTATAACATTTAATGGGGGAAACCCGTAAATAAATAAATTTAAAAAAAAGTTGAGCTAGAGCCGCTAAAAAAGTTCTCGTTTGTCTTTAGAAGCAGCGAATTTCGACATTAAAAGTGTAAAAATTCTATTCCCGTCACTTTTATAGGTGAAACTTATGGATTGAAGAAGCACGAAAATCTTATTTACTGATCTGTCGAGGACAAATATGATTTAGAAAATTACGAAAATTCTGCTCTTGACGATTTTAGAGATGAACTT